TGTCAGTAATGTATGGATGGGACATAGGAGGCCTTTGTCTGTAATGTATTGATAGGACATAGGAGGCCTTTTTAATGTATGGATGGGACATAGGAGGCCTTTGTCAGTAATGTATTGATGGGACATAGGAGGCCTTTGTCTGTAATGTATGAATAGGACATAGGAGGCCTTTGTCAGTAATGTATGAATAGGACAGAGGAGGCCTTTGTCTGTAATGTATGAATAGGACACAGGAGGCCTTTGTCTGTAATGTATAGATAGGACATAGGAGGCCTTTGTCAGTAATGTATGGATGGGACACAGGAGGCCTTTGTCTGTGATGCATGAATGGGACATAGGATGTCTTAGTCAGTAATGTATGGATGGGACATAGAAGGCCTTTGTCTGTAATGTACGAATAGGACATAGGAGGCCTTTGTCTGTAATGTATGAATAGGACATAGGAGGCCTTTGTCTGTAATGTATGAATAGGACACAGGAGGCCTTTGTCTGTAATGGATGGATGGGACATAGGAGGCCTTTGTCAGTAATGTATGGATGGGACATAGGAGGCCTTTGTCTGTAATGGATGGATAGGACATCGGAGGCCTTTTTAATGTGTGGATTGGACATAGGAGGCCTTTGTCAGTAATGTTTGGATGGGACATAGGAGGCCTTTGTCTGTAATGTATGAATAGGACATAGGAGGCCTTTTTAATGTATGGATGGGACATAGGAGGCCTTTGTCAGTAATGTATTGATGGGACATAGGAGGTCTTTGTCAGTAATGTATGAATAGGACATAGGAGGCCTTTGTCAGTAATGTATGAATAGGACAGAGGAGGCCTTTGTCTGTAATGTATGGATGGGACATAGGAGCACTTTGTATGTAAGATATGGATGGGACATAGGAGGCCTTTGTCAGTAATGTATGGATGGGACCTAGGAGGCCTTTGTCTCTAATGTATGGATAGGATATAGGAGACCTTTGTCTCTAATGTATGGATAGGACATAGTTGGCCTTTGTCTTTAGTGTATGGATGTGACATAGGAGGCCTTTGTCTGTAATGTATGAATGGGGCATAGGAGGCCTTTGTCTGTAATGTATGGATGGGACACCGGAGGCCTTTGTCAGTAATGTATGGATTGGTGATAGGAGGCCTTTGTCTGTAATGTATGGATGGGACATAGGAGGCCTTTTTCTGTAATGCATGAATGGGACATAGGATGTCTTTGTCAGTAATGTATGGATAGGACATAGAAGGTTTTTGTCTCTAATGTATGAATAGGACATAGGAGGCCTTTGTCTGTAATGTATGAATAGGACATAGGAGGCCTTTGTCAGTAATGTATGAATAGGACACAGGAGGCCTTTGTCTATAATGTATGGATAGGACATAGGAGGCCTTTGTCAGTAATGTATGAATAGGACATAGGAAGCCTTTGTCTGTAATGGATGGATGGGACATAGGAGGCCTTTTTAATGTGTGGATGGGACATCGGAGGCCTTTTTAATGTATGGATGGGACATAGGAGGCCTTTGTCAGTAATGTATGGATGGGACATAGGAGGCCTTTGTCTGTAATGGATGGATAGGACATAGGAGGCCTTTTTAATGTGTGGATGGGACATCGGAGGCCTTAGCTTTTTAATGTATGGATGGGACATAGGATGCCGTTGTCAGTAATGTATTGATGGGACATAGGAGGCCTTTGTCTGTAATGTATGGATAGGACATAGGAGGCCTTTTTAATGTGTGGATGGGACATCGGAGGCCTTTTTAATGTATGGATGGGACATAGGAGGCCTTTGTCTGTGATGTATGGATAGAACATAGGAGGCCTTTGTCAGTAATGTATGGATGGGACATAGGAGGCCTTTGTCAGTAATGTATGAATAGGACATAGGAGGCCTTTGTCTATAATGTATGGATTGAACATAGGAGGCCTTTGTCAGTAATGTATGAATAGGACATAGGAGGCCTTTGTCTCTAATGTATGGATAGGATATAGGAGACCTTTGTCTCTAATGTATGGATAGGACATAGTTGGCCTTTGTCTTTAGTGTATGGATGTGACATAGGAGGCCTTTGTCTGTAATGTATGAATGGGGCATAGGAGGCCTTTGTCTGTAATGTATGGATGGGACACCGGAGGCCTTTGTCAGTAATGTATGGATTGGTGATAGGAGGCCTTTGTCTGTAATGTATGGATGGGACACAGGAGGCCTTTTTCTGTAATGCATGAATGGGACATAGGATGTCTTTGTCAGTAATGTATGGATAGGACATAGAAGGTTTTTGTCTCTAATGTATGAATAGGACATAGGAGGCCTTTGTCTGTAATGTATGAATAGGACATAGGAGGCCTTTGTCAGTAATGTATGAATAGGACACAGGAGGCCTTTGTCTATAATGTATGGATAGGACATAGGAGGCCTTTGTCAGTAATGTATGAATAGGACATAGGAAGCCTTTGTCTGTAATGGATGGATGGGACATAGGAGGCCTTTTTAATGTGTGGATGGGACATCGGAGGCCTTTTTAATGTATGGATGGGACATAGGAGGCCTTTGTCAGTAATGTATGGATGGGACATAGGAGGTCTTTGTCTGTAATGTTTGGATAGGACATAGGAGGCCTTTTTAATGTGTGGATGGGACATCGGAGGCCTTAGCTTTTTAATGTATGGATGGGACATAGGATGCCGTTGTCAGTAATGTATTGATGGGACATAGGAGGCCTTTGTCTGTAATGTATGGATAGGACATAGGAGGCCTTTTTAATGTGTGGATGGGACATCGGAGGCCTTTTTAATGTATGGATGGGACATAGGAGGCCTTTGTCTGTGATGTATGGATAGAACATAGGAGGCCTTTGTCAGTAATGTATGGATGGGACATAGGAGGCCTTTGTCAGTAATGTATGAATAGGACATAGGAGGCCTTTGTCTATAATGTATGGATTGAACATAGGAGGCCTTTGTCAGTAATATATGAATAGGACATAGGAGGCCTTTGTCTGTAATGTATGGATGGGACATAGGAGGCCTTTGTCTGTAATGTATGGATGGGACATAGGAGGCCTTTTGTTATCGGTTATTGGTACACTTGAACTAATAGTTTTGTATGACAAATCCGCTTTGACCAACATATTATCTATCTTAAAGTGAACAGACACTTTCAGTGTCCTCTTGTGGAAGCATATATATTTCCTTCTAAACGTTTGAGCTGACTATTTTATGATAAAGCCAAACGTCATTAAATCGACTTCATAAATGGTAAGACGATATTACATCATTTTGTGAAAAGAACCCTTCTAATGTGTTTGATTATTTCCACTTCAACGAGCCTTATGGGGATCCCTGGTCAGGGCTGATTGTTTTCTGATTCTATGTCACCGTACCCGACGGCGTGGATCGTTGTTCATTCTATCAGTCACGGGTTTACATGGTCCTGACTCTATAATAGAGGTCACATTGGTATAGTTTAATTACCGCGTGTCACTAACAATTAAGTTCAATTGCTTTAACATTTCATTATAGAACTAGATACAGGCATGACTTCGAGAAACAGGGGTTCATAAAGTTTCAGAGTGACAAGAAAGTCTATGCGAGACTGAATGACGAAAGTTATGATTTCAACTATCCAATAGCCCACTTTCCCTTTACATAATTTGTCGAGTAACATTCCAGCAACTGCATCCTTTGGGGTCTACATTTTACAGAGTTTGAGGTACAGTCGGGCATGCTCTTTCTACCAAGACTTCACAGAGCGTCATACGACTCTTGCTCAGAAGTTGTTTGATCAAGGTTGCAACATTCAAGGCCTCAGTAAAGCTTTCAACACGTTTTATGGTAGACATATGGAGGACATTTCCAAATGCGACGTATCAGTGACAAAAATGATGTCTGATGCAATTCCCTAATTTGGCTTGTATTCATAATTATGTTTCCGTGTGTTTTCAGGTGGACATTTGACTTGGATGTGTTTGTGACGTGTGCCACCGGTGGGACAGGATACGTGAGAGTCTGGTATCATCACTGTTTTACACTGTTTCATAAACACATGCATATGCTTATGATTTATTTGGAATGATGGATTTTGTCAATGTAGAAGTCGGAACAATGGATTTTAGTTGAGATTTCTTATGGTCATGGAAATAGTTTTGTCCCTTTAATTCACAGATTACTTTAGAAGATGAGCCGTGTGGGCGATATCCTTTTCAACGAAAGTATTGTAAACAATCGAATTTCAAGAAAATTAAATTCCTTTTGAAATAAAAAAATCCATCTGTCAATCCATATTCATGACCAGTCTCCTGGTCTTTACCGTCGTGACTCACAATTTGTACGTGCATGTTAATACACGGCGCACAATTTGGATGTTTGCGTGTTTGTTGTTACTCATACACGTGTATTTTTAATGTGAACAGCACACCATGATTGTTAAGCTGTCAGGTGCTCATAAAAACAGATTTGGTTAATCGTACACAACGCTAGAGCAGTGCCATGGCTTACTGAAAGTCAAAGTCAGCTCGCCGTGGGTATGCTGCAAATAGGAATGTCGCAAGACGAAGTTGCCAGACCTTTAAATGTACATCATCTCTTTGGATGCGATATTTGCACCAGGACTTGCCACGGGCCGGTCGTCCACGTGTGAAACGTCAAAAAGAAAACCATATTCGGTTAATATGACACTATAATGGCTAAAATACCACCAAAATGACTTAACATTAACTCCCTTTTCTGTAGAGGGAGCAGCAGGTGATGTGGTAAGCACAAATGTATGTGACTGCTGATCTCAGGTATAGAATACCATTGGTTTGAGGTATACCGACAAGTGTCTTCGGAGAAACACAATCATAAGATTCTTTCAACGAGGCCTCTTTACGATTGTGTTTATGTCGGGATTGTACCCAACATCCTTGTGTTGTCTAGGCCCACAGCCACATGCTAATGCGACAGTGAGTTACCAACCTCTAACGATTAGTACAAAGATGAATTAACATTTGAATAAACGCGTTTTTGAGATGCACAAAAAGCCTTTATTCAAATTATTTACAATAAGTCATGGCAATATAATACCTTCCTGAACATCGATCATACTCAAGTAGACTATGTTATGTATGCTTCTGTATTTGTGTAACACATTATGAATTTTGCTGTAATAACACAATGCATAATTAAAAGTATAGATACGGTATAGCAAAGCGTTCTGTGAACAGGATGTCGAATTCTTTAGGCAATGCGTTTGGCGCTGACGTGATCAATACACGCACTTCCAGCCTGACAGAAGTTGTAGGAAACCTTGGCGTTCAGATCCAGCCCAACCTGTGCCCCTGCCATGTCCTTGACAATTACCTTGTACATCAAGGTACCCTTGAACTCTGATGGTAAGTGCAACGTTATTTTGGAGGCCTTCTTTTGTGGAAGCCGGTTGATGTCATAGAGCTTGGTGGTCCAGATCGAATCAGGTAAAGTGGTTGACTGTACACCAAAGTAGTGATCCGTCTTATTCAGGTGTATAATCTGGTAAGTGAAGTCATCATCCTCATCCCAGTCAGCTGCGACGACGTTGCCGAGGTCAACGACAGTTGTTTGGTAGGGGATTGGTCTCGTAATGTCGAGTTCCACTAGGTCATGATTTTCTACCCGGAACATACCACTGTCTGGAGGAAGGTAATAGATGATGGGCGGGTCGTTCACTGCAGTAACAGTGATGGTGACTGTATATCTTTGAGCTTTTGGTTTGAACCCTTCTACAGGGACTTCCGCAAGCTCAATCTCGATGTGATCCAGACCACTATAGTGAGGCGTTGGAGAATAGAATAGGTTTCCTGTGGCATCGAGGTCACCGTAGCCATGTGTTGGTTGTTTCGTCATACTAAATGTGTATTTATCCCCCTCAGCATCTTTTGCCTTGATTTGGTGATTTAGTGAATGACTCTCCTGAACATAGATTACAACGTCCTCCAGAAGGGGTGGGGTGTTGACGGGAGTGTTCTTCAAGGCAAATATTGCCAGGTAAATCGACACGTCTCCATTGTTAGACTTGGTAAGGTTCATCTTATCAAAGAGAACTGGACATAACTGAAACAAAACAAATCAATATACTCATTAATGAAATGAAGGAACGTTTACGCCTACGTCTAATGGTTATATGTTCTGCCTTCTATCAATATCAGTCTCGACAATATATATTTGCTTTCAATTAAAACTGTACTGCCGAAAATACTGAAGCACTACCCACCGTCAAAATTGCTGTACGCTTTCAACATCCAACTATCCTCTGTCATCAATAACACACTTACCTTAACTTTCACAACGCCCTCTATCAACAACATCACACGAGCCTCTAAGATTATTACATTACACCCCCCCCCCCCCACACACACACACACGGCCACACAATCCTTGCCACACTTGCATCCACTATCCATAAAACATAATCCTCCACGCTCACACAATCCTTTACTACCGCTCTTGCATCCACTATCAATATAACATTACCCTCCTCTACCACATAATCCTTTAGTACCGCACTTGCATCCACTATCAATACAACATTACCCTCCACTACCACATAATTTTTAGTACCACACTTGCATCCACTATCAATAAAACATTATCCTCCACGATCACACAATCCTTTACTACCGCACTTGCATCCACTATCAATATAACATTACCCTCCACTACCACATAATCCTTTAGTACCGCACTTGCATCCACTATCAATATAACATTACCCCCACTACCACGGCAACACAATCCTTTACTACCGCACTTGCATCCACTATCAATATATCTTTACCCCCACTACCACGGCAACACAATCCTTTACTACCGCACTTGCATCCACTATCAATGTAAAATTACCCTCCCCTATCACACAATCCTTTACTACCGCACTTGCATCCACTATCAATATCATATTATTATCAATATAACATTACCCTCCACTATCACACAATCCTTTACTACCGTACTTGCATCCACTATCAATATAACATTACCCTCCACTATCACACACTCCTTTACTACCGCACTTGCATCCACTATCAATACAACATTACCCTCCACTACCACATAATTCTTTAGTACCGCACTTGCATCCACGATCAATATAACATTACCCTCCATTATCACACCATCCTTTACTACCGCACTTGCATCCACTATCAAAATAACATTACCCACTATGATCACACAATCCTTTACTACCGCACTTGGATCCACTATCAATATAACATTACCCACTATGATCACACAATCCTTTACAACCGCACTTGCATCCACTATCATTATAACATTACCCTTCACTATCAAACACTCCTTTACTTACCGTACTTGCATCCACTATCAATATAACATTACCCTCCACGACCACACAATTCTTTACTACCGCACTTGCATCCACTATCAATATAACATTATCCTCCACTATCACACACTCCTTTACTACCGCACTTGCATCCACTATCAATATAACATTACCCTCCACGACCACACAATCCTTTACTACCGCACTTGCATCCACTATCAATATAACATTACCCTCCACTATCACACACTCCTTTACTACCGCTCTTGCATCTATTATCAATATAGTATTACCCTCCACTATCACACAATCCTTTACTTACCGCACTTGCATCCACTATCATTATAACATTACCCTTCACTATCACACACTCCTTTACTTACCGTACTTGCATCCACTATCAATATAACATTACCCTCCACGACCACACAATTCTTTACTACCGCACTTGCATCCACTATCAATATAACATTATCCTCCACTATCACACACTCCTTTACTACCGCTCTTGCATCCACTATCAATACAACATTACCCTCCACTACCACATTATTCTTTAGTACCGCACTTGCATCCACTTTCAATATAACATTACCCTCCATTATCACACCATCCTTTACTACCGCACTTGCATCCACTATCAATATAACATTACCCACTATGATCAAACAATCCTTTACTACCGCACTTGCATCCACTTTCAATATAACATTACCCACTATGATCACACAATCCTTTACAACCGCACTTGCATCCACTATCAATATAATATTACCCTCCACTACCACGACCACACAATCCTTTACTACCGCACTTGCATCAACTATCAATATAACATTACCCCCACTACCACGGCAACACAATCCTTTACTACCGCACTTGCATCCACTATCAATATAACATTACCCTCCACTACCACGACCACACAGTCCTTTACTACCGCACTTGCAACCACTATCAATATAACATTACCCCCACTACCACGGCAACACAATCCTTTACTACCGCACTTGCATCCACTATCAATATAACATTACCCTCCACTATCACACAATCCTTTACTTACCGCACTTGCATCCACTATCATTATAACATTTACCTTCACTATCACACACTCCTTTACTTACCGTACTTGCATCAACTATCAATATAACATTAGCCTCCACTATCACGCAATCCTTTACTACCGCACTTGCATCCACTATCAATATAACATTAGCCTCCACTATCACGCAATCCTTTACTACCGCACTTGCATCCACTATCAAAATAACATTACCCACTATGATCACACAATCCTTTACTACCGCACTTGGATCCACTATCAATATAACATTACCCACTATGATCACACAATCCTTTACAACCGCACTTGCATCCACTATCATTATAACATTACCCTTCACTATCAAACACTCCTTTACTTACCGTACTTGCATCCACTATCAATATAACATTACCCTCCACGACCACACAATTCTTTACTACCGCACTTGCATCCACTATCAATATAACATTATCCTCCACTATCACACACTCCTTTACTACCGCTCTTGCATCCACTATCAATACAACATTACCCTCCACTACCACATAATTCTTTAGTACCGCACTTGCATCCACTATCAATATAACATTACCCTCCATTATCACACACTCCTTTACTACCGCTCTTGCATCCACTATCAATATAACATTATCCTCCACTATCACACACTCCTTTACTACCGCTCTTGCATCCACTATCAATATAACATTACCCTCCACTACCACATAATTCTTTAGTACCGCACTTGCATCCACTATCAATATAACATTACCATCCATTATCACACCATCCTTTACTACCGCACTTGCATCCACTATCAATATAACATTACCCTCCACGACCACACAATCCTTTACTACCGCACTTGCATCCACTATCAATATAACATTACCCTCCACTATCACACACTCCTTTACTACCGCTCTTGCATCTATTATCAATATAGTATTACCCTCCACTATCACACAATCCTTTACTTACCGCACTTGCATCCACTATCATTATAACATTACCCTCCACTATCACACACTCCTTTACTTACCGTACTTGCATCCACTATCAATATAACATTACCCTCCACGACCACACAATTCTTTACTACCGCACTTGCATCCACTATCAATATAACATTATCCTCCACTATCACACACTCCTTTACTACCGCTCTTGCATCCACTATCAATACAACATTACCCTCCACTACCACATAAGTCTTTAGTACCGCACTTGCATCCACTATCAATATAACATTACCCTCCATTATCACACGATCCTTTACTACCGCACTTGCATCCACTATCAATATAACATTACCCACTATGATCACACAATCCTTTACTACCGCACCTGGATCCACTATCAATATAACATTACCCACTATGATCACACAATCCTTTACAACCGCACTTGCATCCACTATCATTATAACATTACCCTTCACTATCAAACACTCCTTTACTTACCGTACTTGCATCCACTATCAATATAACATTACCCTCCACGACCACACAATTCTTTACTACCGCACTTGCATCCACTATCAATATAACATTATCCTCCACTATCACACACTCCTTTACTACCGCTCTTGCATCCACTATCAATACAACATTACCCTCCACTACCACATAAGTCTTTAGTACCGCACTTGCATCCACTATCAATATAACATTACCCTCCATTATCACACAATCCTTTACTACCGCACTTGCATCCACTATCAATATAACATTACCCTCCACGACCACACAATCCTTTACTACCGCACTTGCATCCACTATCAATATAACATTACCCTCCACTATCACACACTCCTTTACTACCGCTCTTGCATCTATTATCAATATAGTATTACCCTCCACTATCACACAATCCTTTACTTACCGCACTTGCATCCACTATCATTATAACATTACCCTTCACTATCACACACTCCTTTACTTACCGTACTTGCATCCACTATCAATATAACATTACCCTCCACGACCACACAATTCTTTACTACCGCACTTGCATCCACTATCAATATAACATTATCCTCCACTATCACACACTCCTTTACTACCGCTCTTGCATCCACTATCAATACAACATTACCCTCCACTACCACATAATTCTTTAGTACCGCACTTGCATCCACTTTCAATATAACATTACCCTCCATTATCACACCATCCTTTACTACCGCACCTGCATCCACTATCAATATAACATTACCCACTATGATCAAACAATCCTTTACTACCGCACTTGCATCCACTTTCAATATAACATTACCCACTATGATCACACAATCCTTTACAACCGCACTTGCATCCACTATCAATATAATATTACCCTCCACTACCACGACCACACAATCCTTTACTACCGCACTTGCATCAACTATCAATATAACATTACCCCCACTACCACGGCAACACAATCCTTTACTACCGCACTTGCATCCACTATCATTATAACATTACCCTCCACTACCACGACCACACAGTCCTTTACTACCGCACTTGCAACCACTATCAATATAACATTACCCCCACTACCACGGCAACACAATCCTTTACTACCGCACTTGCATCCACTATCAATATAACATTACCCTCCACTATCACACAATCCTTTACTTACCGCACTTGCATCCACTATCATTATAACATTTACCTTCACTATCACACACTCCTTTACTTACCGTACTTGCATCAACTATCAATATAACATTAGCCTCCACTATCACGCAATCCTTTACTAACCGTACTTGCATCCACTATCAATATAACATTAGCCTCCACTATAACATAATCCTTAACTACCGCACTTGCATCCACTATCAATATAACATTAGCCTCCGCTATCACGCAATCCTTTACTACCGCACTTGCATACACGATCAATATAACATTACCCTCCACTATCATGATCGCGCAATCCTTTACTACCGCACTTGCATCCACTATCAATATAACATTACCCTCCACTATCATGATCACTCAATCCTTTACTACCGCACTTGCATCCGCGATCAATATAACATTACCCTCCACCATCATGATCACGCAATCCTTTACTACCGTACTTGCATCCACTATCAATATAACATTACCCTCCACTACCACACAATCCTTTACTACCGCACTTGGATCCACTATCAACATAACATTACCCTCCACTATCATGATCACGCAATCCTTTACTACCGCACTTGCATCCACTATCAATATAACATTACCCTCCACTATCATGATCACTCAATCCTTTACTACCGCACGTGCATCCACGATCAATATAACATTACCCTCCACCATCATGATTACGCAATCCTTTACTACCGTGCTTGCATCCACTATCAATAGAACATTACCCTCCACTACCACACAAATCTTTACTACCGCACTTGGATCCACTATCAATATAACATTACCCTCCGCGATCAATATAACGCAATGGCATGCATGTGTCTCACCATGTACTATAGCTTGAGATGCACTTACAGAAACCAGGTACTGGTCCTCTGTCAGAACAGTCGACTTAGTTCTCTTACATACATCAGGCAGTGGATGCCATGCACCATCTGAAAAAAACAACCAATGTGAATACAGAAGGTTTGATGTATCCCATCTATTCATGTCCCGTCTTATGCATGGTTGCCATCAGTGGAAACGTGTCCAATATTAATGTTTGGGTAATCAGTTGACAGACATACATATCCTGGTATAAAAAGTCTTCCCACTTAACCATGCAGTTACAAAATGTAGAGACAGGGAAAATTAATATGGTAATCGATTTGTATCAAAAGGATCTTCCCGGGCCCACATGTGTGAACTCCTTTAAACCGTTTTGCTAATCACAATGCCCAATAATATTGTTTCGGTCCACAGTTTGAAATATGCTTTTGAGATAATAAGTCTTATAATTTCGTCAGATTCATTGCATAAATTACATGTTAATTTATACGGTGATTAATGATGTCATGATGTCAAACAAGACACCCCATCAATGAAACCTATTGAGGTTAAAGAGTGTGAGTGTGAAATGTTAATATACAACAATATTCTTCGGGAAATGTCCCCTCTTCCACTTTGTGATTTGGAAGAAATGTTCAAAAGAACAATATAAATGCAACTTTACAATTGCCTTTGAAGAACAGTTTGACGCTGGTCGTGTTGTCGTGCGCCGATTTAACTCTAATGTCTACATGCGTCCCATTTAGGTCTTCGGGTTTAACATTCACAGTTAGCGGTGTGCCGAGCTGCTCTACAAACCTGTAACACAGTGGAAGAAACATTATGGTCATAAAAACGCCATAGAGCCCATGAAAACTTGATAAATATTTGAGACATATGCAACAATTCCAAAAAAGCAGTTAAAAAAGTCAAACATATTTGCTATGTTGCAAATAAAATGCGACTGACTGATGAACACATCAATGAACGCTAAAGTTAATTCTTAGTAATAAATAAGAAACAATAACAACTTCGCAAATGACAAAAGACAAGCAAATTGTAGACAACCATACGAAACCAGTGTCATCATTCAGTGCAATAATTCAACAAAAGTCCCGCCCACTCTTTTATCAGCCAGTCACGAAACTTGAAAGTGATTCATAAACACATGCTCATGACATCGTCGGAATCGTACAAACGATTCTGCTTTATGCGAGACGTGTATTGGATATGGAAAGGATTTTGTCGCTTTATTTACTGAATGTAAACACAAACACACACAAAATCAATTGGTAAGTGAAGCAAATGCCATGGAAACAGTTGCAATTCGTTTATTTGCATTTTAATTCACAACAGTTTTACCAACCTCCCTCTATTTTGTCGGTCTGCGTTCTTGTTCATTTCTTCAATAGGGACTTTGTCAGATGCAGAGATGTTCACTTTTCCTAAACAACAGAAGGGATTAGAAGAAACATGAGGAAGGACCTTAAGTTCAATGCTGAGATGAATTTGCTGAGGTCATATTGTGATATTGTCATCGCCACATTTCTACCAACATCTTCAAGTATTGTAACATTGTTATAATTAAAACAATTCAAACCTGATGCTGTCAAGATCATAATATGCTCTGTGGCCTCAGAAAAATCTAAAGCCAGTGAGAAGATTCCGTCCCTGCTGAGAGATATACTCCTCCCCTGCAATCCTGATGCTCCACTTTGCAAAGATCCTTTTCCGAGAAACTGCGTACAATCATAGAATAGTGTCCTAATGTACGATGAAATGTTGAAAACAATAGTGATGATATAGTCCCACCAGCTCCACATTAAGTAATAATGCAAAAAATGCGAAAGGAACCTACAGAGTAGTTTGTGCTCGGAATTCTGAGGACAAACATTCAACGAATTTGACGTATGCCTTTGGGACGAAGTTATAACCAACAGACGGCTAGTTTGTCATGTTGGTCAACAAATCACGTGACATTTCACGGATATATTTACATAATTTTGCACATAGCTTCCATTTCAATTATTCACACTAACAATTTGATGAATGTGTCAAATATAGATGAGAAGATATGATGTCCTTACATCGTTCCTGAACAACTGAGGAGGCGGTGTGAGCATCTTGTGTACTGCTTGATGGTCGCTGAAGACTTCAGCTGTAGATAACAAATCAAAGACATTGTACATCATTGCATAACATCATATGGATTTTTTTGGAATTGTACTTAAATACATATGTTTCTTCTTACAACCTAGTTACACATGAAGTTTCAGGAAATAACACATACTTCGAATTCATATAGTTTATAGCATTACTCAATTTACGGCGGTGGCTTACCTTTATCACGTTTCAGGCCCTGGGTTTTGATTGCATTACAAGCTTGACCTTGGCATGAACCCTTTCTGACCGATATTTCTAAGGATATGAGATTACTGTGGACCTTCTCGTCGTCTTTGGCTCGGAATTTGATTGTTTTGTTATGCTGTGAATTTGCAGGCATGATGACCCAGACCCCATACACCAGATTCGATTTCTCTTTGTGGTGGCCCAGCTTGCTCAGTGCTTTCATAGACTCTGTCTGAGTCGTGTTCTTCAGTTCAATGTTAACCTCTTTTGCAGCTGCTGAATCAAATACAATGTCAAGTTTGCTAACGTCTCGATCGGATAGAACAAAGAACCCAAGGAGTTTACTGGTGGAGGTACTTGCCGAAGACAAAAGTTCAACATTGACAGTGGCATCAACATCGGCATCATACACGTCATCATTCGGACTGATGAATCGTAGTTCTGGAGGATCTTCAATGCAGAGGACCTGGATGTGGATGTCCTGTAGTACATTGTATGTCTTGGCTCCAAGAGGAACGTTCTGTTCTTTTGCCTCTACCATAACTGTATCTTCTCCACAATAGTCAGGTTCTGGAGAATAGATAAGATAGCCATCAGTGGTAATAGATGCATTCCCATGTTGTCCTTGGCCCGTGAGTGTAAAGGAGATAAGATCATCCTCTTTGTCTGTGACATCAATGTATTCTATCAGTGGCTGGTCTTCGTCGGACGTTATGTTCTGTGTGATGACAACTGGTGGTGTATTCTGTACTTCCTTGTCTATTTCAAACAGACACAGCAGTTGGGGTTGCATACTAGCGATGTATTCTTTTCCATTCATTACATGTCTCTGGCCTTGGAGGCACAGCTGAAGTAAAACAAAATTAATTAGTTTTCTTGAGTAACTAATATCAAATCGTGCGATTGAGCTTGTGTTTAAGATAATAATTTATTGATTTTAAAACATCAGTTGTTACCTTTCCAGTTGCACTGTTGTTTGCTAGATCTTTCGGACAGCGTTCAGGAGAGAGTTCCCACTTTTCTGTATCTGCAGACACACACACACACATATATATATACTTATCACGTTTTACACATTCAATCCCAAACGATGCAGTTAGATACAAAATAGCACAGGTGGAGACATTCGTTTTCAATTGGCATTGGAAGTGTATTCGTTGTTATGTCATACCTTTATTCCAAGACAGCAGGGCAATGGTCTTGTTTGCATCCTTGGGGAAAATACCATGAACAGTGAAATCCATCAACGGGTCCACAAATGCTTCAGTGGCTGGTGAGATATAGAATGACAGTCCCGATGGCCTTATGATCCTATTTCAATAAGAAATAAAAAAATGTTCAACTCTACCACTGAAAACAGAATCACCATTGAAGTAAAATCTTGTTATGATTCATATTAGATTCGTGTTGAGCCATAACGATCACTGATGTTTTGCGAGTGTTACTTTGCACAGAAAGTTTTCATACCGCCCATGGAGAAGCCTTGAAGTAGCTTCCAATGTTTCCCGGGGATCAGTAATATAAGGAACATATTCTGCAGTCGCTGCACTTCCATAGATCATGGATAAATCAGTTGAGTTTAAAGTGCCAATGAGGAGGCTTCCGTTGTAACCTATATAAAAACACATAAGGAATGTGAGAAGCATTTTAGGGAATACTATATCCTACATTGATTACTCACACGAAGCATAAGTGATTTACTTCAATGAGCCTGCCACAGAGTGAATATTCACACAGTTTGTGATTTTGTATGTCAACGTCAAAACTATTGACAAAAAGAAAGTTGACTGTAACAATCATATATGCGTGCAAGTTTATAATCCTAATATACACATATGTTGACCAAAATAATTAATGAATTAACTGCTACACATTTTATGCTAGTATTATAATCATAATATATTTGCAGGGAGCCAACACTACCTTTAATTGTCAGGTGCAGTGTTTCATTGCCACCACCAGATGATGCATTAATGACCACCGACTTCATGGTGTTATTATTATCCTCAAGCTCAACAAGAATGTCATCTTTTCCTGAAACGAATATACATGTGCCGATAAGGTTTTGGAAAAAAATAATGTCTGGAAGTGCGTAAGTATTTGTGAACATTGACATGTATCTAAAATCATAGCGATGCACATACAGTATGGTTTAAGATGATACACATTCATTTGTCATTCAGATTATTATTCATGCTTTGGACATGTCCTATTTTTACCCTATTCACAGATCACATACGTAAATTACTTAAATTCTACTATAATACATCTCCCTGTAAGAAATAACATACATGTTTTTTATAAGGGGAACAATCGTTAGCCAATAGACAGAGAAAACTATGATACTGACGTTTAACGCAGACTGGTTGGGTAGACACAGCAACCGCAACATGGGAACGGCTCACAGCATGTAGACTGTGATAGTAGCACCTGCCTGGCTCGAGCATCAGGAAAGACCCATCTGCTTTGGAGGTATTGCTATCTGTGTCGTTAGTATTGTAGTCACTGAGAGATATGTTTGTAATTTTTCCATCGATCAACAGATGTCCTTGTTCAATAGATATTTTGGAATCTGCTTGTGTTGCCACTTTGATGATGGGGAAGACGTCATCAGTTGCGGGGACGGTGCCAATAGTCCATTCTAAAACAGCAACACAATTTGTAATAAAGTAAAACCACTCTGCTATGTTGTTCTCTTCTAAGTTGATTTAATAATGTTTCAATCATATACATCAATTTTACCGATTTTGCTTTGAAAATCCTAGCTTGATTTATATTTGTGACTGGAAAAATTACGACAGGTTAAAGACATAAACTCACCATAGTAAAGAGTGCCATATCCACCATGTACACGGATACCGATACTGTGTTGTGAGGGTGTCAGTGACACGGCATGCTTTGTGTACCCTGAGGTAAAGAGACTTTGTGTGTAGACACTAGAAACAGCAGGTGCCCCCATCATTACCGTCACATTGCATACCGTCTGGGTAGATAATCCTGCTGAATTTATAGCTGTCACAGTGACATAGTAGGTTTTGCCATCGTCCATGGTCGCATGCTCCAGTGTCAAACCAACCTTTCTCTTTAACCCAACAGAGGTTGCATTCAAAACATCGTGACCTCCTTTTGTTCTGCCAATCTGAAGTGTGTATTCAGCTATCTCACTGACATCTTCACTGCACTCCCAGAACGCCCCAACACTGTTATTAGAGCCTATGAAGTCAGTAGGTTCGTCCAGAGAGTGTTGAGGATCAACACACATCATGTACTGGAACTCTGGTGGAGTGATGTCAACTTGGAAAGCATTTGACGTCACAACAGTTGATTGATTTGCAAAGTTCACAGCCTTCACACTGATATAATATGTTGGAGCTTTAAAATCCATCAGTTTTGAGGAGTTTGTGTTTTTATGATCTGATAACTTTTCGCTGTGATCCAGAGTTAGGTTCACAAGTTCCAGTGACAGGACAGACAGTTTTTCAATAGATGAAACAGAGCAGTTTGGATCGCATGCTTCCATACAGCTATCCTTGCATGGTAGACAAAATGTTGATTCCAATTTGAATGGAAGCACATTGTCCATGAAGCTTTTATTTGTTCCAATCCCAACCCATAATTCTTTCAGTCCACTCTCTCCATCATAGAATGGTTCGCCATGTAAACATTCTCTGTCAACTGTGTCAGGTACTGCCAAATAGCTCAGTACAGCCTGTGTAAAAAATGGATGGAGAGGATCTCCAACAGGAGGCTTGTAATAATTGAGATTGTGTACACGGTAGATGATGCTGGGTTTTCCAGAAAATGTGTAACCTTCAATATCTGCTTTACGATGACCTTCGATGAAAAGTGTTGTCCTCCATGTTACCTTCACATTCTCAAAGTCTTTCATGAATCTTAGGCTAATTTCATAAACATAGTCTGATGGATCTCCAGGTAAGTCAAACCAGGATTCTGTTTGCTTACTATCATCTCTTAAACAGATTCGTCCTTTCCAAGCATGGATATCATCATCATAGCCATAGAAGAAGACTGCAACTCCTGGTGATGAAAGGCATTGAACTTCTTCTTCAGTTTCATTGAGAGTTGTGTTGGTTTTGTCAGACACATCATCATCGAGTCTTGGTATGTCCTTCAGGACTGGAGTTTGGTAGGCAGATATATCAGAGAATTCAATATGTAGGGAAGTGATGATATTCTGTCCTTTTGCACTTAATAACTTGAATGTGTAATTTCCTTCTGTTAGTGAATCCTCAAGGTCAAGAATTAACCCTCCACGTATGACATCTTTTAAATTTTCATCATATGTGAGGGCCACTTGTGCATACTTATCTACAAGAGCAGAGGAATTTGATATGTCTGATCTGACCAGAACTTGCCAGTGTTCCTTATTTGAAGGTTTGGGGAATATTTCCTTACTCCGTTTGCATTCTGACCCTTTCCTGCTTCTGGCCAGTGCCGTTTGCACTACAACTCTATCATTTTCACTTTGGAAGGTCCTTGATGTGTGCCAGTCTCCACCAACTTTCACAGTTCCGGCTTGTGGCCTTGAGACATCGATGAGGATAGGCAGTGTTGCAGCTGTAGTATTCAGACCAGCTCGGTTGATGGCAGATATTGTAAACGTATACATTAGAGTGAGAGTTAGATTCAAACTGTATAGAGTAATATGCGTTTTATTGTGAACATCCATTACTTTGACCAGTTTCTTCGATTCGTGCTTACAGGGCATTTCTGAATACAGCTGTATGTGGTATGTTTGAATATCACTTTCATTGTCCTCAAAGCCACTCCAGTGTAAGGTCACCTCATCGCTGCTGCTGATGTACAGAACCTTTGCACTCTCACCTCCAAGTGCAGAAATATGACCTTGTGTAGGTGGAGTTGTATCAATGGTCACAGGACCTTCGGACACACCAATGCATGAGTCAACCTTGTCATGAGCAATGACTGTCACATAATAAGAATGACCTTGTTGAAGCTTTAGATTGTGCATATGCACTACAGTGTCGTGTCCAACAGATCTGAAGGATGAATTGTATGGGGAAATGGCAGACATCAGTGACTTACAGTTAGTAGTATTGACTGGAAGGGTAATACTATCCTTGCTGACTCCAACAGTGTACTCTGTGATTCCAATATCTGAGTAGAAACCAGTCCATGAGACCTTTAGATCCTCACTGCTATCACTGTACTTGTTTAAGTCAATGCTCCCAGGGGTTATGTCCAAATCAAATCCAACCTTAATGCCATCTGAGTATGCTTCTTCAAAACTCCCAGCCTTGCTGTATGCACGTACTGTTACGTAATATGTTATCAACTTAGCTTTCAGTTTCAGATTTCTGAATCTGTACGAAGTATTAAGGAAGGCAGTTTCAAAGAAATGGACGTTGTATCGTGAAGCTGGGTTCTTGACATCATCACCTATCGCAACTTCATATCGATCGATCTCCTGAGTGGCATCTGTACTATTTGGCTTACCAAACGCATCCCAGTTGGCTGATAGTTCGACTGTAGACGTCTGGTAATCTGTATCTTTATCCACCCCATCCCTGACGGCCCCTGGGTGTGGTGGTTCTATGAGAACAGTCACACCATCAGAGTATGCGATGTGAATTCTTCCTATGGCATCAGTTACACGAATCGCGTTGATGTAGGTAAATCCTGCTGTGAGATGCAGTTCGTCATTGAAGAATATTCCGTGGGATTCTGGTATTGGTGTGAAGTCTTGGAAAACAGTCCAGCTAACTGTCATAATCTGCCACTCAGTCTTAACCACAGGACAACCACTGGTGTAATGCCAGTGTCCTTCTAGAGCTGAGAGACCTGTCTGGAAATCTTCGTCTTTCTCTTCAGAGCCATCAGTAACTGTAAGTTGTGGGGATGGGCTAATTACCACTGCTTCAGATGTTGCAGATGCTGAGAGACCAGCCCTATTTATACATGTTGCTGTAGCGTACACTTTATCTTCTGGTTGTAGAGATAGTCTTCCAAAGAAAATAACTGTCTCCGGCTCGCCAGTTATCATTCTGTGAACATCTGTTGAGCCCGGTTCGCGACCCAGTCCAACTTCACACCTAAAATAGGAAAACAATGATGATACGAAATATTCACAACACAAAACACTGGTTTTATATAAGTGACACTGTTAGTATAGTTAAACATTTACATATCTTTGCGAAAATCAACACTAAGTTTGGTACCTGCTTATGCCTGTGTCAATGTCTTCAAATCCTGTTATGATCACCTCAACGAAGGAGTTTGGCACTTGACATTGCTTATGAGTAGTTTTATCTCTCAATCGGTCATTGGTAACAACCAAAACTCGACCAGCTGTAGGTATTGTTGAATCAAGGATTACTTCTCTAGTCAAACTAGTTTCCTTCTTCATGGCATTTGCTAGGTGAGCTGTGACAAATATCTTATCGTCTTTTACCTTGTCAACAACTCTAAAGATGTCAGTTTTCCATGATCTCTTTTGGAGTGGTATGTTTTCAAAAGGAGACAGTGAACAGGGATTATCAGCCACACCAAGGCAGATACGGATAGATTCCATGTGACTCTCATGTTCCCTTGCTTCATCCCAAACACAAGCTATTCCAGATTTAATGCTAGAAATTTCCTTTGTACATGTGAAGTTAACCAGTTCGGGTGGAGTGGAATCAGGGATCAAGGCAACAGACTCCCATACAGCACTGTTGTCAGCATTGTCTTTGGCTTCGATTGTTATGAATACTGATGATCCTGGCTGCAGATGTAGTCCCTTGACGCTCTTTTCATTCTGAATACTGCATTTGTGGATGTCATCCTCATATGGGTAGGAACCTAAGCATACGTGGCTTGCATTTACTCCAGAGGGATCAGTGACATCAGGAACTACTTCAACTATGTCGGTGTCAGTCTGGAACACCACTCCCCAGGACGTAACATCTGGGATTGTATGTCCTTTTCTGTTGGATGCCTTGATTATAGGTCCCTCTGTGTCCACCATGATACCATCAGATGTTGAAACTATGTGTTCCTCATGACAACTGTGTCCAGTTCTTGCTCGAACTGTCGTGAAGTACTTCACACCTTCAAAGAGTTGGATGTCAATTTGTCCAAAGCCTGATGATTCATTCGTCTTGACAATACCAAAGCCAGTGAATGGCACAATATCTGTCACATAAGGCTCAGTCCCAATGCCCCACTCATAGGCAACAATACCACAGGCAATACTTTTGAAACCAGCGAATGACATCGCAAAGGTTGATTTATCATGCAGGTAGTCTGCATCAATGAAACGTTTCCTTCCATCATATATCACACCTGGGACATTTCCAGGTAGGACATTAATTGGTCTGGAAATGGTTACATTGGATTCTGCACCTGCACCATTCTTTACCTTAATCTGGATGTAGTAGTAGATGCCACTTGTCAGAGAATCAATCAGTTTCAGATGTCTCAGTGTCACCTCACTTGTCTGGGAGAAAGTGAGAAACCCATTGGTTATGGACTGATCATGTTCCGAGTTTCCAATGGCAACAAATACATCACTGATGCCACTTTCATCATCACTTACTTTCCAGGAGATTGTCATTTTGGAATTGTCGGTATGGATAAGTTTTCCATCTTCAATTTCCTCATCCTCCTTCAGTGGCCCAAGGTGGATCTGAAACAAGCCAAATAGAATCAAACACTGATGTAGTCATGTCAATAACGCTCATATTTTCATTCTCAAATTTCCCTGAAACTACTAGATTTCATTTGGAATGGCAATGTAAAGAAACCAGAATATGGAACAAGATATATTTTGAGAGTTGTCATCATATTTCAGCACACGAACCTTCTCTACTTTTGGTGGTGTGTAATCGATCACCACACCTGGAGAATCAACAGTTTTTGACATCTTGGCTTTATTGACAGCTATTACATGGGCAAAGTAGCGTGCCCCATTCACAAGGGTAAGACTTGTCAGAGGATAGGATATTTGCCCTCCTGTTGCGGGTATGTCCTTTGCCTCGTCAGTCGAGGGCCAGATTCTTCTCTTCATGCCAGCGAAGTTTTTAAAAACGGAAACCATATACTTCTCGATACCCGATTCAGCGTCCTCAAACTTCCATGATAGATGAAGTCCTGTCTTATCCAACTGGAACTCTTGTTGCCCATCATTGTCGTGAACAAAGTAGGCTACTGGCGGTGTCAGGTCTAGTGTAAAGCCATTGGTTGAGGCTTCGACACTCTTTCCTGCTCCATTGAATCCCCTGACTTTTGTATACACGACATCACCTTGCTTCAGTTCGAGTGTTTTCTCGTTCAAGTAGTTCAACTGGCCATCCTGGCTTGGTAAGATTGTGTTAGTTTTCCTGTGTTGGTTGTTGATATATATGTCGACTTCATACTTTACAATCCCACTCTCAGCATCAGAGAAACCCCCCCAAACAGCCTGAATCAGAGCTTGCTCTGAGGAGTAAGTGGCATCATGTGTTGCATCACCTCCATCTTTGATCCAGCCCTTTACTGGGTCCGTGATATCCACCAGGACTGTAACAGACTTGTAGGATCAAATATTTGAACATTATTTTGAAATTATCTTTTACTTTTATGAAAACCGATCAGATTTTTGTGTGTAGGATATAACATGTATCTTCAGTATACGTTAAGTTACATATAATTTGAACTGACATTTGTCCTTGATATTATATATACTTTCTTTGGCAAGGGTTTATATACCTCCATTTGAAGTAAAGTTAACCCTCTTCATGTTCAAAGCTCCATTGAATGCTATGATGGTTGAGTAATATGTAGTGTTGTGAGTCAGTGAAACACTGCTACAGTCATTGTGGACTGTACGGTCCTCCACTTTGAACTTGACAACGTCGTCCATACCAGACGAGGTACCAACACCCCACAAGTACCTGAGAAGAAATAGCTGAATATAATTGGTATGAAGCATATCAGCTGGTGTATTTTCACGTTAACATGTCTTCTTTCGGTGATAATAAATAAATTCTTATTCCGACGGACATATAAATCATTGCCAAGGCAATCTGGGAACAATTACATAATATCATGCGTTGACTAATAGATAATGAAAAATGAAATGATTACTGCACAAAAGTAGTCTTATGACATCAATAATTATCTTTAAGAATAAAGTCTTTTAGTAAAAGCATTAGTGCATTATCATTTATTGTAAAGGATGTGATTAACGACATGCCTCTTAATTCCAGATTCCGAGTCATAGAAATTTTCCCACTGAGCGCAGATGGCATGTGCATCTGCCTGGTAGTCCACATCTACGCCAACAACGGCCCCGTCATTGATGATGCCAACTACTGGCGGAGAGTCGTCCACAATGATCGGTTCATTGGCGTGGCCACTTGTGGAGAGACCAACTAGACACAGTAAAATTGTATGACATGATATGAATGAGTGGGTGAGTGGGTGTGTGGGTGGGTGGGGGAATGGGTGAGTGAGTGAGAGAGTGGTTGGTTGGGTGGGTGAGTGAGTGAGTGGGTGGGTGATTGCGTGGGTGGTTTGGTCCTTGGTTGTGTGTGTGAATAGGTGTGTGAGTGAGTGAGTGATCTGCTTTTAAACTTGACACATTCTATGTAAAGGAACACTTCGTTAGCTGTGAGGGTTAAACCATCAACTGCAGAATCTAAGGATCGTGTGATCTTATAAAGAACATTGCTGCCAAGTGTGTATTCAAAAGGGGTATTTTTCTTGACAAAAAACACATTACATACCACTGTTAGTAAGTCGAATTCTAGGCCAAGCAGAAACTCCTTGAGCCAGGACAAAATCTTCAACCAATACATATGGTTTTGGGTCACCAAAGGATTTATATTCTTCATAGGATCGCAGGCTGACATCATTTTGTGTTAATCCAAGCCCAAAGTGGACATGGGCAATTTTTGATAGAGGATCGGATCCATTGTAGTACAGTCCAAGTAGCTCAAAATCGCCATCAAAGAAGACTTCATCAATGCTTTTAAAGATGGGCGGTGTCGTGTCGACTATGATGGGTGTTGAGTGGCACACTGTTGTGACAAGAGCCCCGCCATGAATGATGTTGTTGACAGCTTGAACTGTGACGTAATGAGGCCCATCAGAGAGATGAAGGCCTGAGGTCAAGCCGCTGTAGGTCCACTCATTCCTGCTGGGTATTTTAGCATGAGGGTCGTTGTAGTCCACCACATCGTTTGAACATACAGATGTACCAGCAGCCCAAGTGTAACCATAGATGCCAGTCTCGTTGTCATGAAAGCCATCCCAGTTCCCTGTGTTAAAAATTCATGTTATTTCTATCTTCAGAGGTTCAGGACGATTTGTCAAAAATGAAAGCAAATTGCAGTTCAAATGAACTGAGAAAACAATATGTGAAATGCTGGACTTCCTGATTGATGACATCTATGTACAATTGGCTAAGACATTTATGCTCTCCACAAGACTGTGTGACAATAGGAATGATTTCAACTTTTCAACAGTCAACTTTCCCTTTATGTCGAACAATAGTCCAGCAGCTCCATCCTGTGTAGTCTAGATTTCACAACTTTTAAGTAACAATTTCTACGAAGATTTCAAATATCGTCATACAATTCTTGCTCAGAAGTTGTTTGATAAAAGTAACAACATTCAAGGCCTCAGTAATGCTTTCAAAAAGGTGTAATGCATACTTGTGGAAGACATTTCGAAATTTGAGGCATGGTTGACCGATGGCCGATGAAATTTCCTATTTTGAGTTGTACCATATATTTCCGTGTGTTTTGTCAGTTGAACAATTGACTTGCTTTTGCATGTGTTTGTGACCGGTGCCACCAATGGGGCAGAACACACTCACCTTATCGCGAACACCTGGTATCATCACTATGTGATTAATGCTTACCTGCAATAAGGTTGTTGGAAAGAGTATACTTTTCATCAATCCGTTTGTTGTGTCCATTGAAGACAGTACTTCCACCAGGTCCATCAGTTATTTTCCTAGAAAGAGGAGATTCTAGATCGACACTTGTTTGTAAATTAACAAAGCCCGTTCATATACATGTTCGTGGAACATTTGCAGGGAGATGTGACGATGCTTCTTTCACATTCAATAATCAATCAATCTTAATCAATGTTTTGGGAAAATGGATGAGCATGTATAATTACGAAACGATGTCATACAATGAACTCATATCAGAATTCAGCACTTTGTTTTCTTTATAACAGGTAATGAAGGTACCATCAAAATGACATGGCCCATGCAAACAAATTTGGTTTTCTTCTCACCTATACCAGACTATATAGTAACTGTACTTCATATAATGTCGTGTAAATAAAACGTTATGAAAATAACAACATAATATTTGCTCATTCAGTGTATTATCTTAACATATTTAATGACAAACCGCAATCCTTGTAACAGGAAACAAAGTTTCATGCCCTAAAAGGGGTCGGTGTAACGACTCAATTAACAACGTCAAATCGGGTATGACCATCTGCGTTGATACAGACGAGGCAGCGGCGGGGTATTGAAGACAACAGATGAATGCGATGTTGTTCCAAATGTCAAATGTCTCATCCAAGAAATCGTTTATGGATGAAACAGCCAGCACTGGCAGTACAGAAATGTATTGCTGTCTCAAAATGTCTGTTACAACACGTTCAACGTGTGGGCGGGCATTATCCTGTTGTAACGAGATGTTACGTCCCTGCATTTGCGCAAAGGGTAGAGCATGATCTCGAACGATGTCGTCCTGGTAGCGTACGCCATTCAAATTGCCATTTAGCAACACAAAAACGTACTCCCGGACGCTTGCAGACCCTTGCACGACCATCATTGCTATCCAGGTCCTGGTCTCATCCTTGAACAGTATACTGTCCCAGTCTTGTCTTCTGGACCTCAGATGCTGTCTATACCATGTAAGGCATGTCTGACGGTGATGTGGACGCACAATTAGGCATATCGCTTGACACCAGGGATGGACGTTGTGCTCTCTCAACCGGTTGCGTACAGTTCTGCCACTAAGTGAACTCAACCCAGGAATTAATCGAGCTGTAAATGTGGCAGCTTGGTATCGATTCCGTAAATGCACCAACCGAATATGGTTGTCTTGTGACGTAACGTCACACTTGGACGACCGGCCCTTGGCAAGTCATGTGTGTTGCCCGGCTGTAGATCCAATAAGACGTATCCAATAAGATGATATTGTGTTTCGATGAACATTAAGATGGCTACTTCATTCCTTTTTGCAGTATACCGACGTTGCGCAGAATTTAATTTTCAGCAAGCCATGGAATTGTGTTAGCGTTTTTTCACGGTTAATGCTGTTCATGGTGTGCTGTTCACATTACAAACACGTGGCTGCCCAACAAACATGCAAACATCCAAATTGTGCGCCGTGCATTAACATGCACGTACATAATATTATTCACGACCGTAAAAGTCGAGGAGATATCTTCATGAATATGTATTGAAATTTGCATTATTTTTTTCAGAATAGTTTTATATTTATTGCACTTTCTATGAAGTACAGTACGTTCCGCAGGTACATGTTAATAATCGTTTAAAAAAATACAACAAACCACCCGGTGAAAACAATCATACTCACCTGTGATTGGGTAGTTTGGACAGATCCTTACAACGTTGGAGGATGGATGCTGAGCAGCCATCGAATGTGGTTTCATCCTTCGTGGTGTTCCCAACAGGTCCAGGACTGGGAGGCGTCAGATCTAGGAGCGTTCCGTGAGAGGACAGATGGCTCTCATACCCAAGTTCATTGGTAACGTGGGTATTCATGAAATATGTCTCCTTGTGGGTTAGATTAAGATTTTTGAAGAGTTTGTAATGTTTCTGACCAACGCCAAGTCTCTCAAAAGACTTGTAGTTTCCATTTTGTCTCAGAGCAGCACTTGGGCCTTCCCCAACAGAATGGAGGTCACACACCTGTGTATTATATTCAAAATCAAATGAAACACAGTTTTGACCGAAATCAATGCACTGTTTTGCGCATTCGTGATCAAACCTGGTTTTAAGACTTTTCAGTGGTTCAGCGGTCAAACTTCCAGTCTTTGACAGAGAGAAATATTTAAGTTCTGTTGGTTCTCCTGACCTCATTGTGGTTCTTTCAAGAGATATAGGTTCCCAAGGTATGACCTCATTCCCCTGTGATCCAGAACTGAATCCAAGGGCTATCTCCTGTTGTGGATCGACTATGCTATCATCAATTACAACCACTGTGCCACCAAGTTCAAATGGATTACTTGAAATTCTGAAATCTTCATCAACTCTACCATCTGAAGGAGTGTTGTCATATGTGTGCAGCATGCACTGTGTTTTAGCTTCCCCGCCTTCACTGTTACTGGCCTTTAATGTCCAGTAGAGAGGAACTCCAAACGGGAGCTTCATGGGCATTGTAAGTGTGTTTCCGGCCATTTCCGTCCAGTCAACTACATCCGTACCGCCTGAAATTGTTCCTATGCCATAATGCATCTTCACTTCACTGACATCATCATCGGATGTAGCTTTCAGAATGAATGCAGTATCTGATGGCGAGCGTCCTTTTATCTGCTTCACCTCACAGCCCCCAGAAGCAGCAGATCTCTTGCTTCTGGTACCAACAGAATTCTTTGAGAATGTTGGTGGGGAGGAGTCACTCCCTTTGTTCGGCGTTGTGAAAATATTTTTCTTGATTGTGGGTGTTGAATAGTACCAAATATTGCCCCTGTATACGGTGACAGTTACAAATATCAGCCTTAGCTTAGCGTATGCCTCCAGTTTTAGGGCAAGTGGCACCATCTCCATATCCATACGAGCACTACAAACATGAAAGACACACATTACCGAATAACACTTCAAGCAAGCATCAAGACTTGAGATGAGATTCGAATTTTGTTGGTCAAGTATATAAAGACAGGTGTAGTGGTTTGGATAACTGGTCAGACAGGAGAGACATGGCGGACTGAAATGATATGCATATATTTGTAATCTATGACCATAATGGCGTGTAAATAGCCAGTGGTGTGTGTGTGTGTGTGTGTGTGTGTGTGTGTATCTGTGTGTGTCTGAGTGCGTTTGTAATTGAGTGAGGGTATGGAATCAGTGATGGTTGATTTCATATGTTGTAATCAAAGTGATTAACATTCATAAATCATCATGTTTTGGGGAGTATTCTTGCTATTTACAGTCAAATTTAATTGTGTTACTTAAAAATGAATTATGAATAATCTCTTACGTCACATCCAGTGGGAATTTTGCAAACCCTAACGTGCCAGTCACTGGAAACTTGGTCTGCATGATGTAGCCTGTAAGTGTGATTCCTCCATAAGCGAATCCTATGTCAATCCCGAGACTGCCCCAAACGTTGATGGAAGAACTGGGAGTTAGTTTCCCCTGGAACATATGACCATCTTGATGGTAAATCCATTTTAAAATATAATACTTACACTAACAACTGTTACCTATCTTGATTTTCCAGAACTATAACGTTTATACCTCGTGTTTGGGAACGCCGAATCACATAATATGAAAATAAGTAACTATAAATATATTTCAATATACTTTTCATTACATATTAGTACGATTGTTCATACAGAGTAACCGATCAACGCTTAAGGAACAAGATATACGATGATGGCTTAAATGTGACTTGTATACGAATCGGTGGTCACATCTGGTGACATGGTTCATGACATGTCATTTACGGCAATTGCGTGCGTCAATGCTCATGGGACCCGTGAAGATTCCGGGGTAGAATATGTCTTCAGCAACCCATGCTTGCCGTAAAAGGCGACAATGCTTGTCGTAAAAGGCGATTAACGTGATCTGATGGTCAGTCTCGTTGACATGGTTGATGCATGTCATCGATCCCAATTGCGTGGATCGATGCTCATGATATTAATCACTGGATTGTCTGGTCCAGACTCGATTATTTACAGACCGCCGCCATAGAGCTGGAATATTGCTGAGTGCGGCGTTAAACAACAAACCAACCAACCAATGCTCATGGTGTCAATCACTGGATTGTCTGGTCCAGATTCCATTATTTGTAGACCGTCGTCATACAGCTTTAATTTGCTAAGTGCGATTTTAAACAACGAAGAGAGAAACAAACTTGTATATAATAAGAACCTTACCTCCAACCTCATGCTCATGAAACACACTCTCAGTTCAACTTCTACGCCAATTGTCCCACCAGCGCCAAATCCTGCATAATAGATTGCGTCAATTGTTTACTGTATTAGTTGAGTTGAGTCAACATTACTTCTCTGCAGACACAAGTTGAAAATGTTGAAAAATCCACAATTCAGGGAAAAACAATATATGTATCTCTCTGAATGTAAAAAGAGCAACTTGAATCTGTGAAAAACTTTAAACCTAGACCGAAGTCGGGCCCGCAAATTTCTTATGGCAATTTAACATTTTGAACAAATTTTGAATACAAAAAATAATAATGAACAAATGCGTACCTAGGGTCATTGGAATTGGCCCAACCATGAATAGATTATTGAATGAGAAAAATGTCATGTCCATGGGTTTAACTGGGATTTTTTTATGACTGCAGCTATCTTTCTTCTCCTTGAACTCCTTTTGCAATGCTTCTAGGGGGTTCTTCGTAGTATCAAACAGCTTAAAAGGTAAGACAAAGACAATATGATACAATACTTTCAAAGACAATTCACAGCGTCAGCAATAATCAGTTTATAATGTCTGCCGGTACTGATTCCATATAGTATAAATGGCCAAGTAGTGATACAAATAAAGAAAACCATTAATCACACTCTTGTGATTGGTTCTTTGGGCCAGTCCTGAATGCCACCAAATTATTTCCAGCAGGAACATGTCTAACTTTCTTTTCAATGATGTCAATTCCGGACTGGGAACGTATGTATTTTCCAGTACTACCTTAAAATGCAAAGATAACAAAGCCATTAAAGGCTTCCGGTTTGATGAAATCATTTGCAGATATAAAAAAGTTCACGCTCTCACCACACAGTGTTATTTAAATAATTGTATAGATATGGTTATCTTCTAAGTGTATTCACAGAGGTAAGATCATAATGTCAACAGCATCAGTCTATTTATGAAAAACCCATCGTTTTTCCAACTCTATCTCTTTTCCCAAAATTTCATGGAATTACTTTGCTCCCAAGATAATTTCAGGAGCCTTAAAATGAAGGTTTATTACATACCACGTGGAGGATGCCCTGTCTAATGTCGTTGAGCAGCTCTCCTGCCACTCGCATGTCCAGATGACATTGGGATATCTTCGACATCCACAGTCGGATACCCATAGACTCGATTTTAGACACAGTGCTGGCATTTGCACTAGCTATAACATTAAATATCATCGCATATGCTGAACATTATTATGCAAAACACAAATTATGTATATTTAACTCTCCATATGCTCGTATTTAGGCCTACATGTGAAAACAAACATTTGTCACAAAGCATTATGGGGGCATAGAACAAAACGTTACACATATATAAACGTTGCATCTTAAATGTGTTGACAGAGTAAGATTTTAAGACTTACCTGGGTTACAAAGGGGGTTATTGAACTTTGTTCTGTTCAGAATCTGCACCATAGGAAGACAAGAGCCGAAGTCCGTTGAACATAGATTGCCTGTTAGACTCACTACCATATCTGCTCCATTTTCAAAAGTGTTCAGTCGGAAGATGATGTGGAATTTTTTCACAAAAGTGTCTGTGAGAGGCAGATCGATGATTTGGGGGACATCTTGAAAAACATATAACAATATACCATGCATGTTAAACCATGTTTACCGAGAAGAATGTAATCAGCTTTTGTAATTGTGCTGATTATTTCAATTCTGAATTAAAATATTTGTATATGAATAACTATCCTTGATACTGTCATGCTTTAGTAATTAAAACACTTATGTAAGACATGTATCATGTCGTTCATTCAATGTTTATCCGATTGGGTTATCAAGTATGTTTTATACATTTGTGCTGTCATCATCAATTAGCATACCTTTAGCATCATGCTCTCGTGTCATACCAGGGAATGTAAGATGTAACCTGGAGCCACAGGACCTGATATACACCCTGACAGTCTTGTGATAGTTTGAGTATGGAAACACAACACCACAGGACATGCCTTGACAGTCGGGATCAGGGGTACACAGATGGCCGAAGCCATAAGCTAGACCTGACTTCAGGTTTGGACACGCTGTGGTGAAGAAGAAGCATTAGAAGTATGAGAAAAGTAATTACTTTAGGATAACATAAATTTTATGGATTTCTCTTGTTTCATGATTTACGTGACCATAGTAATTGGATCAGTAACACATCAGATAGATCAAATAATATTATATGTACTGTTTAACACAGCATCATGATCAAACTATTATAATGAATTATAGATAGAAGACAACAAGAAGACAAGGGGATGCTCAATACCAATGGGAGGTCTTAAAAAACAACCCAAGCTAATCCTTTCCTAAAGGGGATTATCAAATATTTCCTGTGGGATACACAAACTAATAATGAATATTACCATCAAGTCCATGCGTTACTAGAGATTTGACCATTCCAATCTTATCTCCAATGACAGGTATTTTGCTCAAGGCGAGAAGACTACGCAGTTTAAAGGTTGAAAGAGACACTGGTTCTTCCACAGGCCTGGAGTGTAGACAAAGGTCAACCTCGGAAACAAAGTTGTCTATTCTCTTCACGATGTCTAGCCTGGCCTTCAAAATATCTTTGAGCTTTGATACCGTCATCGTGTTGATGTTGAAGACAGACTCAATATTGGGAATCCTATTGAAGGAGGAAAAGAGTGATGAAGACATTTACATTTCATTGACATTTCAGCAAACAAATCATGTTTCATATATTTTTTGGGGGGAACAGGTAAAGCTTTTGATCGGAATATGTTTAGGATAGTTTAGTTTTGATGAATATTCATGCGTTCTATGATCCACTGAACATTATTTATAGAATAGATTTGAGATTTAACTCCACTCTCCATCATTGTATACCTACGCGATAGACTTCAACATATGACCAAAGTTCTTCAGCGGCGACAAGAGATTGTGGAAGGAGTTTGCGAGAGCTTTGACATTAGGTCGATCTGTTCCTTCAGGTTTGAAGGGGGTAGCGGGGTCAGGCTCGACATGAGCAGAAGTCTGCATCTTTGAGAATTGTGAACCAATGTAATTTTCAATAATTTCCTTGGGGGCTCCATCCGTCGTTCCGTCGGCATCGTATGTCTTGCCAATGTAGTAGAACGTGTGCTCATTGCATTCTTGTACCCAGTGTGGTATGGGCAAAAGCCTATCCAGATATTTAGATGGGTCAGCGCATTCTCCCGTTTCTGTGACACGAAGAGCAACGTGTATAAAGTTGGGACTGCAGTTGATGTCTCCTGCTGTGCCGATGTCGTCGCCGGCTTCCATGACAGAGCCCGAATCTGTGACGTTACTGTTGGGAATGACGTTGTTAATAACGACCTGGTATTCCATGAAGTTGTCATCGGTAGGTGTGATTGTGACTTCGTCAGCACCTGTTGACTGGACGATACCTGCTACAGGATTTACAATCTGGAAAATAAACAGACATGCATGTTTTAGTTCAGGAATATTCTAGAACATCAGATTCATATTCCACACACACAACACACATCAATTTTTAATTCCCCAGTGAGTTTCTAGCCAGAAAAGAACTGTATTTCAGATATTTGGGGTCGATTTATTCCATTAAGTCATCATCAATTTGTGTGCAAGGCTATGAATGCTTTAAAACAGCTGGATATTATAATGTCAACTTTATGTATGTGAGAGAGTTGACGCCGCTCTATAGCCTATTTTTAGAGCCTCGGTTAAGACAGTTTATATACGTGTCACGTGTGAAACATTAACAGATTGATATTAACATATTCAATTGGGATTGAATATTTCACTTGAATATGAATATCTATATTATTTTCGAACTGCAAGATTAAACATGCTCAATCTTTAAACTGCCCTGACTGCAACTTGAAGTGAATGGATCTTACAATATGTCCAGGGTCAGCACTGACGTCAACGCCGATTGTCGGATACTTGTTCCCACCTGTGGCAGGCCATACAGCGTCTGTACAGGACCCGGAGTTTCTCTCTGCTGGAAACCGACGGTGGAACTTGCTTCCGAATATCTTTTGAACCAGTGACTTTCCCACATTGACACTGGAAGTTTTAAGCCAATGATTTTCATTAATGGCCACTTACGGATATAGATAAACAGGTAGAACTAAATCTCAAGAAGTCTCAACGGGTGCAACACAATCATTTATTGAAACACAATATTTAATTGTCCTCATAATATCAGAACACTATGGAAAAATAGTGCTACGGTACTGTATTTCACCTGGATAGTCAACAGTTTATAAAAAATCAACAAAAACAGTCACTTAACCAAAGTAGCTGTCAGCATTTATGTTCAAATACTAGCATTATTAATACTGAGGATTAAAAACAAAAACTAAAATCCGAATGATCTCAATATAATTTGATGTCAGTGTAAGATGAAACATACATGTATAGGTTCATCTTCTTCAGTCTAGCCTATCCGAGAAGAAGTTACAGAAGCAAAAAATGCATTTTGAGGGAATGTAAGAGCACGGCCAAAAACACAGAAGTAAGAACAAGGTCAAGATTTAAAATATTACGGAAAACAAAACAAAACACATACCAAAGTTCATGACATTTCAAACAGATTGACTGAATTTGAGCCACAATATGGCTGCTGTTGCGGCCATATTGCAAATGTAAATTAAACCTCTTGAACAAACTAAGGTGTCATCATATGTAGGAACAAGCATGTGAAGTTTCAGCTTAAATGGTTCACTGGTTTCTGAGCAGCCATATTTGATGTCGAAACAACATGCCTCGAACAAATTTGGAACAACAAGCATGTATGATGACCATCTCGCCCACCATGTTTCAGGCTTATGTGACTGAATGATTGAGAAATTGAATATTAAAACTGCTGGAGCTGCAACTGCAGTAAATGCCGACTATCAATAAAATCAATGTACGAACAGTGTCCGCAGGCAGGCCCTGACAATGGGAAAACAGCGGAAGTTTTTTGGAGAACACACAGCAATTGCAATGGTGTTTTGTATAACGACCTGATGATTAATATTTAAGAATTGACTTGTAGGTTCTTACTCCAATGGAATCACACAAAGTGAAATCAATTCTTATAATCGTTATATTCTTATTTTGTACCTAGAAGGAGGTATACACAATTTCATGTTTAGTACGTGTTATTTCATGTTTACACGAAAGACTATAGAGCAACAAGTTGTATTGGAGAAACAAATAGATCCTAAAATTGAGCGATTACATGAGCGCGTACATGCTCACTTTGCTCTAGAGTAACATCTATTGTAGTTTTTGCAAGCAGCAAACAGATTTAAATAAAATCGTCATTATATGAGAATAGTAGATATTGAGGAATACACCAGTAAGTCAGCCACAGCGACATTGCGACGTAATACATTTACTTAAAGTGCGAGCGTCAAAATAGTCGACACGATCAACGTGGGGAGTTTTCCAAAGTTGTCAGTGAACCTGAGGCGATTATAATTAGATGTAAATCATCATTGATCAATGGTCGATCATTCAAATTCGATTGTTAAGATATGTCGAATAGATGCTAAAGATAATTCCTATCCTGCTGGAGAATGCTTTTGACTGTCATTGTCAGTCTAGGCACGTATCGAGTCGATAGTTTGGATGTGCATTTCATCCTTTGGTTCAATAGGTACATAAACTGTAATGCAGTCAAACACTCTGAATTCAAATGTATGCAATAATGCTGAGTTGAAGATTAAAGTATATACATGATCAGAAAAAAACGATTCTGTATTCATGCTTGCTTGTCCGTCAATGTTGACATTCCTAGAATACAGTGTCGTGAATATAAAACATCGACGCCATAGAATAATCAGTCACAAGTATATTCCGAATCAGATTCCACTTGGGGTGAAAGGCAAAATAATGATGAAAATCTTTTGAAGGGACGAAAAAAATGTGAACATCAAAATGTGCCGTTCATACTTTTATGAACATACGTCCAATGAAAAAAACCGCATTAAATATGCTATAATTAACTATGTACACATTATATATGTCGTTTGCTACCGTCTCTCCCAATAATCGTGTCTGCAACTGTCAAATACTTACACTGTTTTCACGGTTTCAAATGCCGTCTTTACACCAGTGACGACACCCATGACGTCTTTGTATGCTTTGAAGAAAGGATCTGCCATGGTCTTCAGTCCTGACATCCTTGAAGTGACGTTTGACAGCATAACCTGTGACTCATTGTTAAACCAGGTCTTCATCTTGTACTGAAAGTAAGTATTAGTTGTGTCATGTTCTTCCATAGCTATATTGAGCAGTCAATCGGGTTTCACTTGGAGTTAGTGAGTGAGTACGTGAGTGGGTGAGTAAACACTTAAGGTTGCATCGGCAGTGTTTCAACTCTTTAGCGACTAGAATAGGTTTTGGAATTAGGAACCTTGTGTTAATACATCAAGGTATATTTTTAACGTTTTCGTCAAACATTTCTGAGCACAGCTATACCTTACTAAGAAAAACTTAGTATTACGATTATTGTTTGACTGCACATTTTGATGTATGCATATCACATCAAGTCATGGTTTTCAGATTATATGCCAAGAGGAGCTAATAAATCACATGAGTAAAGCCCCCTGCCTTGGCAGCCATGCCTGCAAGGATGGCACATGTATGTGAAGTCATTGGCAAGTAAGTAATATACAAACAGGTCCCATGATGCCATCGTTGGTACCATCCGAGCTTGATGATCGGGGATGTATGATGGTGTTGACCTTGTCCATAACCGTGGCCACCAAGTCCTTGATGTCATCTGTTATTTGTGTCACTCCTTCCCCGATATGCATCCAGAATGGGCTTGTTCCTTAAAGAGAAACACATAATGTAAGTGTCCAACATACATCACAGGTTCCACAGTAAATGCAATCTTGTTTAAGAATTACCAGCACCACATATATTGCATTTGCCCATGCTCAAGCATAAGGCTTCAAGAAAACTAAAATGTTACTGTTAACACGTTACAATATTTAGTTACAATGTTGTGTCTCAAACACTATTATATGTTTGTCTAAATACCTTTAGAGAATGAGCAAGCGTCAGCTATCTTATTCTTGGCATCTATTACCATTGTGACAGCAAGGCGAACCCTGAAGAAAACATTCATTTTCAGTAAGAAGAGTGATAAGGTCATTACTAGACTTGTAAGTAGGAAACAAATCTGTTTACATGTGCAATAACCTCATCCGCTGGGGACACATTTTAATCCCCTTATGCTCATTGCTTTCCAAAGTGGCGGAATGTGTTCATTAATATATTCTTGCCAATTGCTAAATGGGTACAAAATTCAATTGATACTTCATGACAGCTTGTCCAATTCTGGAGAAGGATTGTGCTGGACTCTTGAAGAAGTCCTTGAAGATTGCGATGATGTCATCTCCAGCCTCTTTCAGCATCTTGCCAACTTTGGGAAGCGTTATCACCACAGGGTCAGCAAGGCTCTGGAATAATAAATATAAAGTAGAATGTTTCACGTCCGAATACTGGTTATCATCAGGGAACTGCAACTCTAACAATACGGAATCAGGTCCTATATATCTAGTAATACATGTATCTATGGTAGGTTGCTGGAAATGAATTCTTACCCGAAATACCCAGAGGCAAAGGGGATACGAGAGGAAATTGAATGTTAATTAAGAGTAGAGACGTAGACCGTATATATGTGGGAGTGACATGTACACATTTTTATATAAATATCAAGTCATTTGCAAATGATACAAATCTATCACCATTCTGAATGCGACCATCAGCTAATTAAAATATTCCAATGCCTGCCAAGTTTAACCTTGAGTGAAGGGCTTACGTGGTAGAACTCCAAGGCGTCCTGTTTGATCTCCTCAGCAAAAGCCTTGACCCTCTGTGCGATCTGTTTCACCTTTTCCATGATGGGATCAGTGTGGTAATTGACCACTTTCTTCACAAGGTCCACGAAGTCTTCCACAAACTGGACAACTAGGCTGGGGAGGCTCTTCACAAAGTTGATGATCTCTGTCAGCATTCCTTTAATATAACCTGGTTGGGTGATCTTCTTAAACATAGTGATTGCGTCTTTGATGCCATCTACTATGGAGTGGAATATATTGTCCAGCTTCTGAAGGAGATCCTTGAAGTGGTTGATGTTGAAATCCTGTAAGAGAATGTATATGTGCATTTTTTATCCTGTTAAATGTATGCGAAAGTGTTTCCTACCACCAGTTATAATTGCAGTTGACAACAAGCTGTGTTGCGATGCATTGATTAACTGGTTAAAAAAATAAGGTTATAAATACAGATGACAGATCAGTCGCAAAGAGCAATGTGTATATAGATTTACCACACGTCTATTTACCATATAATTCAGGAATCTTCCGCACATGTGTCAATGACAACATAAGGGAAAATACAAGTGCGCGATGCATTCAAATTGTAAAAGCGTCCATGATAAAACGATGTACCAGTCTTCCTTTTTGCACATACCACATAATGTAATTGATGCACATCATTCTACGTAACTAAACACCATTAAAGGCCTGAAAATACTTCAAAATAGACAAATATTACATTAAAAAAATGTTTCAATGGCGGTCATGTTAAAAATTAATTGGATGTGCACCATTTCCATTTATAGACTTTTCAGAGGGAACAACAAGCGTTTTAGACAGATAAACAGGCCAACAACGGTATTTGTTCACATAAGGCAAAAAGGGAGTACTATCAGAGACGCATGCCATATGGCTGCTATCAAACGTTTATGGGAAGAGTAGTACACTGTGCGTTTACTTTCATAATCCGCTGATCATATATTGTTAATTAGATATGTATCAACCTTTAAAACGTTGAGGTCATATTTTATGCGGCCAGCATAACAAAACTTTGCCCTGACGATGTCCACGTGTTTGCCAATTATGCCGATGTTTGCTGTCACCCACGCTTCATCATCAACGTTGATGCTAAAGAAACTGTGTAATGGATCTAAACAAAAACAATAAATTTGCACTTTCTTAATCTTGTACACGAATCAGAAAAATGTTCTTCTCAGCTAGTATAAATGATAATACAATTGGATTATGTTAAATTGATACTCTCATTAACCATTATTCATGCATCACTTACTTTCACGGCCAAAATAATGTTCATGGTCACCTCTTCCAGCATTTTTAACACTCCGTCGTAACGTTTGTCTTTATGTTAAAAGTAAATTCCAGATAAATAGTTCCCCTTGTGTATATAAATAAACAGAAAGTGACTTCAACTTATAGTGTTACCTGACAGCTATTTGGTGGAAAGGAGACCGTTGCAACATAAATATTGCTGCGGGACAAAGTCTAATACATACGCAGCTTCATGTCAAGCATGTTGGTTATCCTCAGGCCAAGACTCGCGCCTATGCTGCTGCTCCCAAAGGTCTTGTGCCAGTCGATTCCTGGCATCTTAATGGTGAGACGTAGACCATCACTTGTGTCAACGTGGAAGACGTCACGGCGTACACGGGACACGGCATTGTAGGTGTAGTCGTGGCTGTGAAGATGAATACCGTCAAGCATAGACCAGAAGCCTTACCTTCCATGCCGCTGTCATATAGTAATATTAAGATGCAAAACCATGTAGTTGGTGAGTCACTTCATTATGTAACTAGAAAAGTATTTGCAAATAGTTGTGAAAACAGAAACAGCTAATTTTACCGCCATTTCGAGAAGATACCCTAAATAACCACAAACCTCGACGCATTTTCAGTGGGATACCATTACCTTCAATTTGGTGAAAAGCATGCCTCCTTCAACTCAATACCATTATGGAAAGTAATTGTCTCTAGCTAACACGGTGAGAAATCTACAGGCATTTCCACTATCTCATGATATCACTTAAGTTGCAATAAGTTCATGTCATATTGACTGCGACTTAAAAATGGAAAGTCCCATGTCTCTAGCAAATAATGAGACGGTTATAGACTCATTGACACTCAATTTCAGCCAATCACATAAATTATATCTTCTTCTTCGATTTCTTCAATTAAGGACGCTAGATCTTACAAACATATTATACAAACACGGTGAGATCATCCAGTATACAAAGAAGCTTCCTTTCCTGAAGCTCGCTCTAAACTTTACGACTTCCAACCCCCCACCAAAAGATGACATGGACATAGTTTTTACACTATTGCAGTGAACACTTCTTGAGATATCCCGAACATAATGCATTCTTGAGTGTAGGGTTAGGTGTAACCAGCATTTTATCAGCATCATGATTGAGGTGTTTATGGGAGTCGTACTCGACCAGCGAATCCTGGTAAAGTAATATGGCTATTTAGTACAAACGAGGCAAATATAAACATCTGTATCAACTTTCAATTCCACAGATATGTTCTATTCAGCCATTTGAACAGAAATAACAATCGTTATTTGATTGATTAACATCTACGTATATAGATATCATTTCCTAGGTGTATAAAGGGGATAAACATTATATGATATCCGTGAGATGTCGAAGCATACATATCTTCATAGGTACAAATTACTTCAATCTACCACAGAAGAATATTCTCCTTGTCCTTGGTCAGGCGGTGTCGTTGAGGATGTTTCAGGTACACTTCTCTGGCCTCCTTGTGGACCTTCTCATTCTCTTCGTGGGCGAGGATGTCAAACAGCAGCAGTGCACTCTAATAACAGGAAATAGTGTTTCGTAACACAGGATCTTAAAGGGTCGAATTGGTAAATGTTGGTTTATCTTACAGTCATAACACTTTTACGTGCGATATATTTCCTATCCTGCTTTGGCAAGGCAAGGGATGAAGTTCTTTACCTCGTTACAGGTGTACTGGCGGAGACTATTGGCTGCTGCCCTCCGCCATGTTGGGGAACCAAGGTTAGGTTGGAGATATGAGCGGATATGACGTAAAGACCTTGGCATTCCAGCATTGCCAAGACTGTGTAGAAGAACCATCTTGGACACGATGTGATGGTGCTGCTCGTAATCGAAGTCGTGGATTGATCGCTTTTTGCGGTCCAAGATAGGGGAGGAGAGAGCTGAGAACATTACAAAGTGTTAATGAAGTGTAATGTATATTTTGATACAATCAATTATTATAAGGTTTTGGTACTGAATAATTATTTGTCTCTGTTTTATCAATATCCAGACTATTGATGGCAAAGTATTTGGTCCTAATCACATGACAATACAGGCTTCCAGGCTGATGTTAACACGAACATACCATTGTAAACGTATCAAAGACAAACTAGATGTGAAGTTTGTTATTTAAAACATCTCCATGCTGCAATAAATGTTGTATTTGAGTATAGCACACGTCCACACAACACTCGTTAACTGAATCGGTTACTCCTCTAGTTAACAATTTGTGTTCTTGTTAACGCTGGATCAAAAGGATTAAAGTGACCAAAGCAGAGATCATTGTGTCATGTCATTTCAATTAAAACTCACTGTGGTTGTAAAAGCCAAGTTTATTCTCTAGCTTCTCCAGGACATTCTCGGCAGCTGTGTTGTTTCCCATATCGGACAACGATCTAGCCAGAGCTCCCAGTGTCAGACAAGCTCGCTTCTGGGTCAATGTCATTTCAACTGTAGCTGAAAGTAGGTATTTATGATTGATTACACCATTTTTACATAATAACAATTCTTTAGTAGGAACGATGTACGTTAGGAAGATTTAGAAGATTGAATGGGGTTCAACAGACTATTTCATTCAAATGGCGACGTGCAAGCCCTTGTGTCTCTGTGGATGATTTGTATCAGTCCGGAGTAATGCTTCTAGCCCATCGAGATATAATACTCATTGTACTCCGAGAAGGCCAGACTTTGTTTTATGCTCTGAATTCTGAGCGCCAGACAAGGTAAGAACAAGTGCCATCTTCAAAGGCCATTAATATATTAAACAATGCAAGGTCCTCATCTACAATGTCTCACCAATATGACAATACAACTGCTGTATTTAGGATGCACAACATTGGATTGGATTACATTATTCAAGTTTCCCTTCTTCAGGAATGTGCAAAGACACTTGAACACTTACGGATATGTTCGTAGTCACCATCTAAACAGAGTTGTTTAACGGATGTTACTGTTTCCTGAAACAAAACATCTTTATCTTCACCAGCATCAATATATGTTCTAATTCAATCAAAGATATGCGTGCTATAACATCACACAAATGTTCTTATATTTAAGTTTTGATACGTTTATATTGAATCTGGTTTAGTTTAGGGCTTTATTCATATTTTATTTCTTCACAAACTTTCCGGACGTTGTAGCTCATTGTTATTTGATTGTCTTACTGAGTTAAAGGTAAGAGCCAAATGAAAATAAGATCAATGTGTTTGTTCCCGTTTCGCTTCCCTGAGGGGATTCCAGGTTGGAATAGGACCCCAGAAATCTGTGATTGTCACGATAGTTAACTTGGTTAGTTGTATGTTATGGCACCCCGAGACCCCTGAGAGTCCATGTCTTTCGAAGTTTCGGCATAACTTGCAAACAATCGCCAGTAGCCAGAGGGTAGCTGGGCAACCGAAATTCATCACGGTCCCTACTATGGTTACCTGACCTTGGTTTCTATAGCCCGTGTTTATGACGTATTGTTATGTATAGTGATATCATTTTAAGGTTACATTCTAGTTTTACATATAACACTGTTGTAATCTAGTTGTTTTACTGTCTTTTTATTATTATTACTGTATGGCTGCAATAGTGCCAATGCGATACTATTGTAGCCAGACCGCGTTTTGTATTGTTCAAAATATCAATCACTGGTTTGTATGGCAGACTTCATACAGCTTGAACATTGGGTTATACATGTAGAACCTCAAAGGATGGCAGACATCAGATACGGTAAATGTGTCCGTACCGGGATAGGTTCCTTGAGAACGACGTAATGGAAAAGGGGGCGTCTAAGTTCGTCCTCCGTGGCGTCCTGGTCGTTCAGGACATACTGCAACACCAGTTTCTGCGAGTCCTCGTCACCTCTCCGACAGAGGATGTCCAGGAACAGGTACCTCTCATCTCTACACAAAGTGTCGTTGGTGTCACACTTGGCAAGGTACTGGTGGCCGAGGGCGACTCTGTCCGCCTGAGTCAGGTTGTTGAAGAGGCGCATAAGGTCTTGAACGCACACAGTCCTGTTAGTGGTGACTGGAATTGGCAAACGTGAGAAGGGTTTTACAGGACACCTTTCAGGCATTATCACTGTCGCTTAACAAGCTATATCCTAAAGCTAAATCTGGTTTGTAAACAATTTGAAAACAGATGGTTTGCAGTATTGTCCAACTCAACCGTGCCTATTAATCAGTCAAGATGCATACATTGAGTTGATTAATCAACAGTAGATTCATCGGACAACATGCATTTTTTTACAAGATGAGCGTTATTGGATCCAAACATGTGTCACCGCAAAACGATTGAATAAAACTAGATACTAAAATTTAAATCCCAAAGCTATTTTGATTGCCTCACCTGCTGAAAGTGTGCCCCATCAGTAAACAGTAAATATGATTTCCTTTGTATACCATTTGTTCTTCCTTTCTACCTTCGACCTTATTTGGTGTGCCTGAAAGTCATTGCTTTTCATAACAAACTTAGTAAGATAACGTACAGCACTAAACTTACATTTGTTGTCATATTCTCTTATGCATTCCAGCAGATCACTGAACACGGCTTTCACTTCACTAAGTGTTTGCTCCTTTGGTACTGGCTGCAAGTGAAAAGACACACTTGTATGACCATACGAGTGAACATTACGAGATTATACGTTGTTGTTCGTTGGGGCGGACTTAATGGATAATGAATACTCAAAACATGGTATGGTGTCGGAAACAGTTTATGTCTAAGTTGTTTCACGCACCGTCTTGACTTGGGGTGTGTCAACCTTGAAGTCTTCCATCACTACTGCCTGTGTGAAAGTCAGTCGCCTGGGGTAATGTAAAGGTAAGGCTTCTTTAATATTTCTCTAAAATGTTGAAAATCGAAACAAATGAATTTATTTAATTAATACAATTGTAATTTCAATCATTTTTGCATATATGTTACACAACTTACCTGCGAGCTGTGAGCTTCACAACGCTTCTCGCAGTGGACGTCAATGTAGGAAATTCTACAACAATTATGCATCCAACAATGCATTATCGATGGATATGTGCTATCAATTATCATACGCTTTCTCTTCTTTCCCTCATCACGATAGTGCAAACATTAACATCGAACAACTCAAAAGTATGATATACCAATTTGGTTATTTACAGTAGATGCACTGACCGTATCTTATCATACTCACCTCCGGTATCCGGTGAAACTATGACAACATTCTCCATATCCTCGGAGCTGCAATATTTGATGAACATATAAACCAAAGAAATAAAACCAAACTCTGAACTGAGAGTCAGTTTCCATGTACATACATTTCGTCGATATACGGATAGAGCCTTATCCATGGAGATATCAATCCCTTGTCATCCTTTCCAAGTAAATATGTTTCAAATAATTGAAGTGCTTGTAACATTACACAAAGGCATAAGACCTGTTTTTCTGTCAATTGTATCTTGGCTTTATAAATTGTAATAAGCTTGTTAATGCAATTACAATGTTTTGACAAATGAAAAGGTAGAAGTTGCAGTCCCCAAATGATGGCAGCAACCATTACTATGACTATACAAACACAAATATGTTTAAGATATTAATATAAACTACATACGTGTGAGACGGGGCAGGCTGGTTTCTGAGTCTGATGGTGTCCTTACACTTGATCTGTTTTATGAATCCTCTGCGGTCATATTCAACAGTCTGAGAAAGAAGAAACTCAATAATAAAGGACAGGTATTTCCTGAAATTTGACCAATTACTAAGATCATGCACAATGAATTGGACCAATCATGAAATAATATAGTTTCATTGGTCCAGTGATGGACAATGAAGTGCGGGTATGGGAGGGCTGATGCCGTCGGCTGGCAATTAACTGGTACCTTTTCGTGCAGTCTGTGTGTTTCGGCTGTGCTGTTATGTCGTCTGCTCATCACACTTCCGGTCGGCAATCTTTTACCGGAATAAGTGTGGAGTAACTTCCCTTTGAAAACGAAACGTAACATGCTGGAAGGATCAAACTTAAAGTAACAAAAGTAACAAGTAATTTGTATATTTCACATACGTTTCAATTTTCAAACATTCAAATCGGAGGAGGTGAGGTCACACAGAAGGCCCTCGTTCGATTCCTCGCATAGGTATAATGGTTCACATTCTTGTAATGGTGTAAAAGATTGGCATAAACCTGTACTCTTTCACTCAGTCACTCAAACTTAAACAAGCTATGGAACGAAGTTGTGGTACCATGCTGGTCTGTCTCCCAGTCCCTGTATTTCCATTTAGACTTCGAAGAGCGCTGGAAGTAAATAAATTACAAATACCAGGAACTAACATTCTACTGACAATAACCTTTAGACATCACTCTCAGAATTATGATTGTTCCATTCAACGTGTACTTAAAAAAACCATACTACACGTTAATACTTGCATGTGCAAATTTATATATAGAATGCATTAGTCAGTGCTGATTAATTGTTGCTGCAGTAACTCGAAAGTACAGATTCTATTTTTTTGTATATTGTATATTACATTCATAATGATACACTAGATTTAATAGCACCATTGAGACAGAGAAGAAGGACGCATGTTCCAAAGTCTTTTGTGTATTATTGTAAATACATTGCTTTACAACCATTGCTGTCTGACACTGTGTGGTACCGCACCTTGTTATACATGGACAGTGTTCCGGCCAGTAGTTTCTTCAGGGTCACCACCTCGTGCACCTCCTCCGGGTGGTGAAAGATCTGTGTCACTGCTCCAGCCCCGCCCACGTGGAACAGGAAGCTGTAACAGAACGAAGTTGTGGATGAGGTAATGTTTATGAGATAAGATTTAAAAACGTTGAAAAAACATGAGATGCACATTACCAAACAATGTGTATTCGCATCCTGTCAGTAACAGTTTTAAGCGATGGTTAAACGTCGTTTGTGTTTAATAATAACTTACTTCCGTGTCAGGTCCCAATGTTTAGGGTTGTTGTCCACTGAAAATAACATCATCATAATATTAACAATCACCATATGCACGCCATTTAGGGGAAAGTGAAAGTTACATGTAAGTTAGGAATAGACATATATGATGAATTATTATGCATCATTTGCGTTTACATCAATCATCTAATGTTACTTTGATCTTCAGCAAGGTGTAGTCAGGACTCTTTCCCTTTAAAGAGTGAAAATGATTGCAAAACAAATACTACATGTAGTAATCAAATCTACAGGTTTGTATTCAAATCGTGGAATAATTCAAGACATATTCACCATATCCTTGGTCTGAATGTTGTACAAAGCTGTCTACCATAAGGAGGTTCATGCTGCCATGGTCGGAATGGTTCACGGGGGTCACGTGGAACTGAAAGTTTTATATTTCCCAGTTAAAACAAGGTTGGTTTGTCAAGCCTACCAACGGGTGTATGGTCTTTGCTGTGAATTGTTCAAATGGGTAAACGACTGGTCTGGGGCCCGAAACTACGACCACAGGTTTGAGGGATGCAACTTCCGTCGACCTAGTCCACAGGGCCATCGTACCTCACTGCACAAATTACCGAAAATGAATATTCATTACATTTTCAACATATCTTATTTTCTTGCGGTGTTGACGATGTTCGAAATGGGATTGAGATTCTGGAAACCCTGTTTACCGAAACTGTCATTGAGAAATTGTTTTGCTTTATTAAAATATCGCACAACAGAGGATGGACAACAAGTGAAGGTTCATATGAGCATAGATAATCCTCCATGAGGGCTCTTCGAAATGTCTCCAGTAATCTATGCTTGTACATGGGCGAGGCTACGGAATGGTTCAGTTGATCCAAGATAATAATCGTATTTTGACACAGAACAAAAACGGGTAAAATAAACAATGAAACTTTGTTGGTTCGGACCTAGACGATAACTCTTTGCAAAGAAACTGAATGAAAGGGATATTACATGTCCGAGATTCGTTAAAATAGGTATTACTCCGGGCCATTGACCAGGAATCGCCCCATTCAGGTACGCAACACAACATTTCAATATCTATACATGTTGGATGTTGCGCATGGTGATTGAAGAGTAAGACAACCATTGTTTGCACAAACTCCACAAGCTTATTGGCCGGTTAAGTGAATCTTATATCAGAACAATACTGTATTTCACAAATTATTCATTATGTCACGAAGTGATATTGTGACTCGTTAGTTCAATAGGTTACATTCAGGGAAGTTTTTTTCTGACGTTTTGACATTTTATAGACATTTCTTTATTTTCTTAGGTATATACCACCACAAGTTACCTTTATGATCGTTGACAAGTTGTGAAGGCCGAGAACTTGAGACTTGGAGAAGTAGGTGAAGTAATGCTTGTGTCCATCTTCAAACGGCGAGCCTGCAGCACAGGACACCAACGCAAGCAGAACAAGACACAAGTGTGAGTTGACCATTCTGTTGTCTACAGCGTCTTACATGGCTGCTGGTCAGAGGTGAAATGTGGCGATTGAAAGAGTCAGTATGACTGCAACATAAAACGTTTCGACGAATGCTTTATACAGTGAGCCCGCTCTCAGCCTTAAAAAAATCTTATCAGCGTCAGCAAACAGGGTGAAAGTTTTACTGTTGTGTTCAGGGCAGTGATAGGGCGAAATCCGCAGTTAGCAGTCTAAATCGCCGTGATTTATGTTTGACAAGGACATGCCGTCCTTCAGACAAAATCAAATCGGCTGGATGCGGTGATTGGCTTAACGTGTCAAGGCTTTGCCTCTGTTAAACGAATCACGTGAACAGATAACAGGCACTCAATACACACCTTGGAGGCGAAACAATTTGTCACACCCAGGGTTGTTGATATATACGTATAATCAGTAACTCATACCTGGCTAGGAGACGTACAATACCGCCACAATAAATACATACGTAATCTGATTTAATACATGCTTGTTTAAATCATTATCTAAACGCTGAATAACGTGATTAACTGAAAAGTCCCAATATATCTGATTTGGAATCTTGACATCCACACAACTATATGCCTTTTGTACATTTTAATACAATACATACAAAACTGTATTTACAGATGGATCCACGGATAGTGAAGCAGTTCCAAGCGTCACTATCTTTGAATTCAGGACTATATCATCCAAATAACTGATGATAACAGTTCCAATTTCACAGCAGAAGCAAATGCCATTTTAACAGCTCTAAAGTATATAAACAAACTGCCTAAAAATAAGCAGTATATAATATTTTCAGACTCTATTTCGTGACTTCAGGCTATTAAAACAATCCTTATTAACATTTTTACATTTTTACATTTTAACTTTTACTTCAATCAGTCAATACTTTATTCAGCACGACGGCCATAAGCTCATATGCAAATACCAATTTAGACGTATTGGGAATGACAATATACACAATTTTACACATACTTTCTTACGCATGAAAAATAACAGGCATAGTGTTTTTTTACTTGTTCTGTATCGTTTGTGGCAATTATCTTTTTAAATGTATGCATATTTACATTAATGACAATTATCATTGGTAGATATTTAAATCAAATTAAAGAGCATGAACAGTAGCACATACCAGTCTAATATAATAATCATCCTTTATACTTCGATTACATATAAGAACATTTCTCATGCATGTGTCATTGTTTTGCCACCTACAAATGTACATGTACCTTCATTATAATAATAGTCTCCCTCTAAATGTCCCTAAAATATTTCGAAGCTTTACTTCAGTAAATGCATGAAGATACTTTCTGGTTCTAACAAACTAATATCTTATTAATAGTAGTTATCCAGTTTTGATGAAGCATATTTATAGCACAAACCTTCAACATCCTTTATAAGCATGTTTTTTTTTTATCTCCAACTGTTTGTGACAACCAATCAAAACCAACACCACGGGAAAATACAGGAAATTGTTGAATTATCTAATAATCTTGCTACTGGCGACATTGTCATCTGTTGGTTACCTGGCCATTGCGGACCTAATGGCTGATGCTGCAGCTAATGCAGCATACACTGTTACAGAAGAAATCTAACGCAATTTATGTTTTTAACAAATTACTCGTACATCAAAATAAACGAACTGTTCGTTATATCTGCTTTGGTTGTCAATCCAGATTTCAAACGATCATTTTACAGTCATGTGATATTGGCCCTACTAGATATACTAGTTATTCACATGAGGTCATGCTTGACTGTGTTTGTTTCTCCATCACAGGGGATATATATTTCAGCGCAACATCATTAGCTTTTGAAAAAACATTGGCTTAAAATCTGTTGATGTGTTGTGTAAAGATCCATAAATTGATGGCACCTAATTAGAAACTAATTGATACTAAAAGGGGGTGTACTTTGATTGCTTGCGATCTCTAATCCGGTTTTTATATTGTTCTGTTAAATAATAGTCATCACGTGTTACTGCTATATACGAGTTTTAAATAAACTGTGCGATAATCTAAAATATAGTCCATCCTTGACAGGTTTTAAGATATTAGTAGTGTACCTCTTGTGATAGGCACGATATGACTGAAATACTGTAGTACTTTAAATTTTACTCTCACTCTCTCACTATTGTACATGTTAAGGTAAATATTCAACAGACATCATGTTCTGATGTTATTGTTAAAAGGCAAAATAGCTGTGTTCATTTAGTATTTGTCTTATTACTTTTGCCTTTCCTTGCAATAAGATCATCATCTTGAGAAACAAATGGATCACACGGCTTTCTAAAGAGCAAATTGTACTCAGCCCTGCTCTCCACGTCCGTTGATTCTACTGATTATACCGTCACTTAAGTGTCACTAAGGTGGGCCGTCCATACCACTTCAGATCCAATATATTCCATTCAATAACCATGAATAGTGGATCACACATAATACCGCCACAGAGAGCAGCACCAGTACATGTTGATCGGGAGTACTAGCATGCCACTTCGTGACGTGGGGTTTTGTGCTTTTGTTGCGTTAATAAAATCCCTTTACTCATAGTTGTACCTTAAAGGTTGGTTGAGGTGTACACGTAGTTCGACACAGGGGAAAGGTATTGCCTTTTAGAAGTTAACGCAAGTGCAGATAACAACGGGAGGTCTATTGACTTAGACGTGTATCGCCAGTTAAAAGGATTTTATTCTTATTGTACAGTGTGTTGTGTATCTCGATGTTATCAAACATTTGTTAGCAGGTTTTTCCTGAGTGTCCCTATTAAAATATGTGATACACTTTTCGTGTCTGCACGATAAGAGTTTGGATAATCAATCTTAAAAACATTTATTCAACTTTGCCTTCGACCTTCATATATTCAGTCATTATTGTTGTCTCTTTTGTCAGTGACTTCAGCAGTCATGATACATTGGGGTAGCCTTGCATTTTAAACCATACACAATTGGTCGTATGCAGAAAGTTTCAGGACAACTGGGTATGCTATCTAATTGTCTCTCTCAGATACTAATGAAACATATCAAGGTATATATAAAATGAAATATATCCGTATGTATTTTAGATACATTTATATTTAGTGGCAGTCTTTTTGTTAAATGAAAGCAATAAATGTAAGGATCTCATGTTACCCAAACTACCTACATGTATCATGCCGTAAGATCGATCACATTCTTTCTACTGAATTGTAGTACTGCAAGATTTCCAAAGACATTCTGTGAAAATGAAAATCCAAGAAGTTGCAATGAACTCGAATACGTTCTTTTGTTCATATGGAATTGGAATTGTTATTCACAGTTCTTTCAAAAAAACATGTTATATATCTATATATTCATTCGAATATAAAACACTTGCACCACACAATAACCAGTCCCAATTATCCAACGGAACAGATTCCATTGGCAAAATACCGGTGAAAACTATATAGACGGATCACTGAAAATCTGTGATGACACCAGGTGTTCGCAAAAAGGGTAAGCATATCCAGCATCATCAAATTCCATGTATCCATATATACCAAATTGTGCGAATTGCTACAATTTGGTATATATACCTAAATATAACAAATAAATAATTTTGACATTCAGCCATCAACAAATAGTTGAAAATGTATATGTAAATTTTAGAAATAAAGATTTAGAAAGATTTATGCACATTTGTAAAAATTCTTACAAAAATGAATAATTGTTATTAAATGATCTACTTTGATGGAAAAATAATTGGAACAATCTGAGATAAGATCACATCTACATTTGAAATTACAAAACTACCTATGGGATTATTTGATAGACATTATATATGAAGAAATACAGGAGTTCACTTATTTTAATAGTTAATTGATGTTATGGAGTTCACGGCAAAGCAAACACAGAAGAAACAAGCGAACAGCAGTCTCCATAGGGGCAGACCAGTGAGCTGTGAGTTGTGAGATATAAAGATTACTACTCGAGTGCCTTCTAGATACCATTTATCTTACGACGAGTTGTTTTTGAACGTATCTAACGAGCGAAAGCGAGTGAAATACGCTTTGAAACAACGAGTTGTAAGATAAATGGTATCTGACAGACAGGAGTGCAGTAATCTGTTTCTTAAACACCCTAAAATCCCAACTTTTTAAGATACATTTTGTCTATTCTCGTGATCGCAGTGGCGCATTAATACATAATACAACGGTCATTATTGACGTCGACCGACGTGCTGCTCACTGCTAAAATATAATGTGACCCTACACAAAGAGGTTTCCAACAATATCTGTTGAAGTATGTATGTATGTATGTATGTATGTATGTATGTATGTATGTATGTATGTATGTATGTATGTATGTATGTATGTATGTATGTATGTATGTATGTATGTATGTATGTATGTATGTATGTATGTATGTATGTAGTGTGAGTGAGTTTGGCTTAACGCCGCTTTTAAAAGTATTCCAGTCATATCACGGCGTGTCAGCTTAATGTGGGAGGAAAGCCCGAAGTGATGCAGGTCTCAGACGTTTACCACTTCGGTGAAACCCACGAGCACGGGTATGGTGCTGACAAACCTAGAAACATAATCGGGGCGAACCGGGATTCGAACCCACAATCATAGGTTTCTGGCGTGCCCAAGGGACGCATCTCTGCACAGCGAATCGCGGCGCCTTAGACGACTTGCCCCCCGTGCCCCCATGTATGTATGTATGTATGTATGTATGTATGTATGTATGTATGTATGTATGTATGTATGTATGTATGTATGTATGTGCATGCATGCATGCATGCATGCATGCATGGATGGATGGATGGATGGATGGATGGATGGATGGATGGATCGATGGATGGATCGATGGATGGATCGATGGATTATATGTGTTGGTATGCATGTGTGGCTGTGTTTATGTATTTGTGTATGTATGTGTGTGTACAAGTATATTGTGTTCATATATGTGTTCCAGGGAATATGTATAATGAGGGAATATGTATTATCCCTGAAATATTCAGGGAATATATATAATGTCTGATTCACTCAGGGAATATACATAATCCCAATTTTTTTCAGGTATTATACATATTCCCTGATTTAACATCAAGTTTTTTAGACATATTCCCTGAAATTACTTTTGAAGCTCTTTTTTGGCCAAATTTGATAAAAAAAACAAACAAATTATTTATGAGAAGACAAATTTATTTGACATGATAACAAATACCTTTCACTTAACTTAACAATTAGTCTTCACTGCAATCAAAACAATGCTACATCAAACATAAGATAAACAAACAAGAACAATTTAGTTTTTGAGTGGCACCTTCAGTTACAAAGCAGCTTAGCCTTGAAACATCTACATCTGTTGGTCTGACATTTCTTTGTACCAGCACAGTTACACTGGGTGAAACCTTGTCCTCCATAATTGGATTCTAACTGCACAGCCTGGCGAAATGAAATGTTCTTGTAAGTGACAACGTCTTCAGTTGAGTACAATGCTGTAGCACAAACATCAAACCCAGTATGCCACCTTTCATAGCTATTGTGTACACGTCATTGTCACTGCATTCAATCACAACACCTATGATATTCATCAGTGATCACACAGACAGACACCACACACACAACATGGTGTCTTTGTTCTTTGCGACTACGTCAAAGGCCGACACGAGCCAGCGCTTATGTATTGTTTTAGCGGAAGTACTCTAGTCAGCAGTGCTATTTGGTGTGTGATTGGATTAATGTAAGGTTGGATTAAGGTGAGGATTCTCCTGTATTTTATGTATGTTTATGTTCTACTTTGAAACATGTTTATAAAATGTTCTCATTTTTTCACGTAGATATATTTATGTTTGTAACTTTATAATCTGATGTATATATTAAAGAATCAATGTCTGAATATATGTATTTGGGAGAAGGCCACCCAAGTTGGATAGAATTTTTATCCCACTTTTCAATGTCTTCACTCATGCTAATCCAAAGGATAGTTTCATAACAATGCTGCAGTCCTCCAAAGTGAGCCTTCTCATACATTTAGCAAATTAAAGATGCCTCCTCAACCTCCGAACTTCACAATTGTAAATATTTGCTGCTGCACTCGTGAATGGCTGATTACAGAATTCTAGATTTCAGGAACTTGATTAACATAGTGACTGTTCAACACCACACCGCCTCGACTTAAAGGTACCATTTCGGTTTGTTGAATATATGCACAAACATTTGTAAACTGTAGAAGAAAAGGAGTAAGAAGAAAAGTTAGGGGATTTCACTACTTTAATTCAACAAAAAGCAAAGCAACCAGGCGCTACAAGTGGATATATCCTCATTAATATACGAGTTTCATTTGAGAGAGACTCGACTATCTGACAAGGATGTCAAGATGGTCGCTGTTGTTCATGTTTGCTCCGTTTGATGCCACTACAGTGAAGTATACGGCCTTATTGTTGAGAGCAGGATTGATCTTGTTGGACACCAGACTTTCCATCTTAACAGTGTAGTTGTGAAACTGGCAGTCTCCAAGGGAAGGACAGTAGCAGTCGAAATAGGATGCACATGCCTACAAAAGAGGATACAAATGACAGATATGTAAATTATTTTTTTGTTCATATAGTCAAAAGGTTCTTTTTAACATATAACGTTCCATGGTGCACTGGAGGAAACCAAACGAGATACTTTCTCGAACATTTTAGCAACGTACCATTTCATGACCAATTGCTGCAAGCGCACTGTTCTGTCATACGACACATGAAAGATGATATACAATCTTTACCTGTCCATTTAGTTTCTGCACTGGCAACACACCATGGCCAAGGTCTTCTGATGAGTCTTTGATGCCAAGATACCACTCCACAAATTCGACGCCACTGTCAGGGTCGATGACATCAAAGTGGAACACCATTGTAGAAAGGTCGAGACTGTCGTGGACATAAACCTGCTTGTTTCCATCCTTCACGAGCCACATGTTTGATATGTCAGGAACAGTAGAGTCAATGTGAACCCGTACCGATTCCTCCACGGAGTTGTTAACAAAGTCTTTCATCCTTAGTGAGATATCGTACGTTTGACCATCAATCAGCTTGGGTGAGATGCAGAGTAACTGTTTGGTGAAGTGGGGAACCAATGCCCAGTGTGATTTAGCACCCTGGTTGACAGAGACAGAATACTCTGCCTGAACGATGCCATCAACATTGGGAGTCCCATAAATAGGCAGGGTTCCAGTAGTTTGGTCATATTCAGGTTCCACTCCTGCCTGGGGACGGACTGGCCCCAAAGGGTTATTGGCCATCATTTCATCATTGTAGTAACGGCCTTTCCAGTCTATGCACATTGGCCCAAGGTTAGTCTGCCATTTGTAGTGAGATTTCTGTGTTGCTGATACACCTTGAAGAGGTTTTGCTGGATTTGTCATCAATTTGGAGGATTTCTCATACAGTACAAAACGTCTGACTGATTGGATGTTTCCAGCCTTGTCGTGAACCTCCAGAATAACAGCATATAGGCCATGTTTGTTGGGGAGGTGAATAGATTTGTCCAACACAAACGTGTTGTACGTTAGATCCAAACCTTTCAGCGGCGTGTGTAAGACGTCGATCATATTTCCATTCTGTACAGTGTTGAGAATCTGTATTTTAATGTGTTTCAATCCAGATACTGCATCCGCTTTTCCACCATGTGGCAAAGGATCTGTCCAGCCAGAGGTTTTTACATTGAGCACACCTACAACACGACAATTACATGAAAAAAAACACGTTCCTGATACACAAGTTAATAAAAGATACAGTAAGCTTTTTCATGAATGAGTAAAGAATGAAAACATCTTCAAGGTTAAATATATTACAATGAACCCTGATTTTAATATATAACAATGTTATATTTTCGTGTATTTCAAGCCAGACACTGCATCAGACATTCCACCATGTGGTAATGGATCTGTCCAACCAGAGGTTTTTACATTGAGCACACCTACAACAGGACAAGTGCATGAAAAACACGTTCGTGATACACAAGTGTAATGATAGACACATTAAGCTTCAAGAATGAGTAAAGGATGAAACTTCTTCAAGGTTAAATAAAGTCAAATGAAAGCTGATGTTAATATATAATTTTGTTTGTGACACACCTGTATGCGTTACGCGGGTTGATAGTTCTAGTGGCTGTGAGGAACAATGCCCTGTTCTGAGCTTGGAGCAGTGTACGGGTTTACTCATATCATACCGGAAACAGAGATGTTTGCTGGACGTTTGTGGAGTGTAAGTCTGTGTTCCTATGTGGTGTCTATCAAAGTCTTGATACCTGAAGAACCCCCCTCCAGTAGCCGAGAACTGTATGCACAACCTGAATAACATAAACATGTATTTGAGAACACCCCAGAAAATGTACAACTCTTGTCACTATGAATACATTTTAAGCATTGCTTCCTAGGGGGAAATTAAAAGTGGACCTTGAAATACTGATCTTTCTTATGATTATGCAATTGTTTTTTGTCGGTTTTTTATTTAATCACATCACGAAACGTTTTTTCCACATTAACGTTAAATCTGTTAGCATCAATATCTGTGAATATATATTTCAGGAGATGCATGACACATACATGATAATAGCTGAAAGCCTCACGTGTTACATTTATGGCTCTGCAAAAGTTATTATCAGTAATACGACGAAATACAAAGATTTATAAGGAATATAAATAAATGCAACAAAAGCGATTGCCATAGAGTCCGAGTATACCTTGTATTTATGAATCACTATCAATTAGTGATGAATTTACGTGTTTGCGTATTATGTTGTCAAAGCCTTCCATTGATGAAAACGTAGAATATTTGTCATTAAAATGTTGGCTAAAATTTCTCAATATCGCCAGCCACTAACGGGACAGTGAAAATATGATTGTGGTACCATGCAGGTAGCAGAAGTACTGTAAGTCCTCTACCATTGGTTACTGGCGATCTATATCCCGGTTTTATATTGTAATGTTTAAGGATGTTGCAAACTGTCAATGCTCCAATAGTAGTTGAAAAAAAAATCTGTGATAATCTAGTTACTGTACTATTCATCACCGACAGGTTTTGATATGTAATTATTAATGCATATGGTACATATCCGAAGAGCAATGTCAATCGAACATAATTTTGGTAACACGTGCGTCCAAATGTTCCTATACCATAAATGTTTTTGAAAGATTCACAAGGGCTTGAATGTTGTCTCTTTTATTACTGGTTCTTGCGAGTAAATCGGTGGAAGGGAATTGGCGATATCAACCATATCAGATCCTCAATATATTTAAAGCTTAAGTAAACTTCTTTGGCCAAATTCCCTTAAACAAATTCCCTTTTGTATATGTAAAGAAAAAGATGAGCATTTCATATGTGGTTTTCTCATGTGTTTTTACCTTTCTCCATCATACATGTCTGTTGGTACTGATACAGTCCGTGAACATGTCAAGGATTGAGAGGGCGACGTGCTCCCAAGCGCTTTTGAGCAATCATTTCCGCCGGACAATGTAACTGTGGAAAGGCTGGATTCAAGTCCTGTTGGAGAATAAATATTAATGCAAATCAATATATGTACTCAGTTTTTGCGGTAATAATTAGTGGATATGGGACCACATGAATATTAGGCATTGTTACAATTAGTGCCATTAATTATTTCGTGTAGGTACAAATTCATTTCAGTCTGAAATGAAACACAATCGTATGCTGTTAATGAAATTGGTCAAGCGTAAATTTGTTAATGCTCATTTCTATATGTGTCCAACGAAATACGAACACAGCGTTAACCTTATGAAGGAGAACATCATTTGTTTTAAAATCATGAGAGTGTTTCCGAAAGTATTATTTAGATTCATTGGATAAAATTATTTGGAATATCACATACAGTTAAAATGATAAACACTTGTACCAGTAATAGAAACCTTCTTCAGTGTCGCCGTCGAAGCAACTATTCCGTATCGTTGCTGGTAGATGTAGTTTGGGGGATGTCTGATGTCAATATTATCTAACTTTGCGTTGAACTGAAGGTTTACAGATATGGGATTCAAGTTGACATATGTGTCCGATTCATACTGGCATCCAGAGTGAGAGCCATGTGTGGAGCTTCTCACGCTGCGGTGTGCATCGATCATCCCAATGTGGCACGTTAGAAGTTGGGGCTTCTCAACAACTGTAAATAAGATATCATGTCTGCACTTCATAGTCGCTCACATGCATCATGTTGATTAATTCCAGATTCACGAACCCCATACTTTATTTTAATAGGCATATATATAAACGGGGATATGATACAAATATTTGGAACATCATATATATATATGCGTTGAACAGACAAACATGAAAATGAAGGCACGTGTGCCATTTTTATATAACTCTCATAATAACTGTCAACATAGTTTTTACATTGTATTTGGAAAACACGTATTCCTCTCACGGTCACACTTTGTGTATCTGGAACCTCCATCATGCTTCACAAAGCCGTTCCGACATTTACAGGATGTCCTCAATCTTCTGTCTAGGCAGTCCCCAGGCCAACACCATTGGTTCTTCCACGAACAGGTCACTGACAAAACAAACAACAACGTTTCTCAGCATTATGATTTCTGGCGTCCCCCGCCGTGATATTGCTGGAATATTGCTAAAAGCGGCTTAAAACCATCCCCGCTCACTCACTCAAAATTATGAAAAAGATTGAAGTTCCAGTTTATATGGTATATATTTTTGTTGATTCAACTTCGACAGGGCCTAAACTGTTACAGGTTACATTTCTTATGCGTACAGAGATTTACGTGTCATTTTTTATGTGATACATGTATGTGTTTGTACAATCGTATGTTAATATCAGGATACTTACGAGCGCAGTCCGGATGGCTGTTTGTGTGCCACCAGATGGAATGTTCAGGATCTGCACGAGCATCAAGACATTTTTCTGCAACACAGGTGAATTCACTTTAATGACTTCACAAATGTTGAAACAAATTAAATTCTGAAGTCATTGTTATGTAGGGAAAATGCACAAAATGAAATAACGCGAATATCACTTAGTTACCACTTTGACCAATTCCAGCATGCACGGCTATCGCACGTTGTCAAATATTTACTGCCCAGATAGTGCCAATCGCCTCCACACATTTCGCTAGTATACTCAGAGTAACAAACACATGTACTATATCTCACGATCACCACATTAAGATCAAGCATACTTCATTTGACACGAGACCGCCTCTGTGGTCTAGTAGTAGAGCGTCAGCCAGGAAAGCAGAAGGGGGTTCGATCCCCGGCCGCGTCATACCAAAATGCGTTACGTATTGTTACCCTGTCTGACGCTCGGCTTTAAGGGGCTAAAATACGGACCGGTCAGCCCGGAGTCAGTATACTGTTTCTCAGTGGGGTATTGATGTTAAACTCAGTGGGCTAGCACCACAAAATCGGCATTAGAATGGACAACCAGTCACACAGGCAGGCACACGTGCATGCACGTCGCAATATAAGTGCAATAATCTTGAACGCGGCGTGAAACATCATTTCACCTCACACAACCTTATGTGACATTAAAACATGTAGATATTGCTCTGACAATATGTGTTAGACTTGAAACTACCCACATTATGACCGTTACGGACGAAGCATAGCCCTAATGCTTACTACCTTAAGAGCCAGTGGACAAGGAGCCGATAACAACCCATCCACGCAAACACTGGCAACCCGACCCACCGCAGAATCACTAAGGACCTAAGGTGTCACGATACACTGTAACTCTTTAGTTGGCACGTTGGCGACGCTATCAGGCAGCACACCCCTCAATACCCTGTTGACAGGGAACCGATAACAACCCTTTCTCGTAAATACTGGCAGTCAGACCCACACCTAATAAGCAAAACTCTAACTCTAACAAATACACCTGACAGAAAACGAAGATTGCAGCTTATTACTGACCAAATGTGACACGACCATTTATTCGTTCTGAAACCAAACAGATTCACTCTCAATATACGGAGTATGAGAAGAACACCAAATGCTTACCACATTGTGATCCAGTATATCCAGTGTGACAGGAACACCTGTTTGGTGCAACGCAGCTTCCTCTCTGGTTACAGGCTCCGTTGGTGTTGTCCTTGCCGTAACAGATGGCTGGAGGAGACAAGAGTGTAACACCATGGTGTTTCAATGAGGAAATCTTCTCTTGAAGGGAGATATGTCATTCATGACATTTTGCATTACAATGTAAACTCGTTATTGCAAACATGTTATAACTTATGGTTGGACGAAAACCAGGTGCCATTCATTGTCGTGGACATCACTCCCGGATCTTATCATTGGTCGCCTATTACAATCCATACAACAATTACTTATATTATATTGACAACTTTAAAGAGAGCTGCGCGATAAAATCGATCAAAACTTGTTATATCATGACGTAATTTCTGGATATTTGAACATGCGCTCGCAACTTGAAGACGTCGTATTTTTTGACGACGCTATTTTAAAGAGGGCCGTTTCTTGTAAGTTGTTCCCTTTAGATGAGCTAGGCACCGTAAAGGTACGTAATGACCGAACGGTCGCTTCCAAAAGTGGGAGAGATATGACAATCGGATACAGAGACAATCGGAAAAGATACAGAGAATCGACGTAAAGATTATGAGAATATGCGGGAAAGACGGGGAAAACCGCTCTGTTCATAAAATGGACATTGCCGCTGTCGGATTCTGTTCCGGGAGTCATCATTATTTAAATACGGGTAACTATTCTTTTTTAAAGCGTGTACTTTTTTCTGACATCCTTTAAGAGGCTGTACTTAATGTTTATAACTCACATAAAAATAGACGACAAGTGGTCATTGTCGTTTATATCTTAACTTCAAGAACGTACAATAGAATCAGTCACTCCCAAATGTTACCATATTTGAGCTACTGCTGTAGAGTACAAATGAACCAGTCACCACCAGGGTACTTCCACATGTACGTCAATTCAGAACCATACCATGTAAGCAGTCACTAACGGACATTCTACCATGAATTTGGAATTTACTCGATTCTGATTGGTCAGTCAGAGGCTATTAAATCACAATAAACCCCCTCTGATTGAAACAGCTGGTTTGACGGCCGCATCACTGCGGAAGCTAATATTAATAGAATAGTACTATTTTCAGTCATTGTCGGTAGGCATATTTAAATAACTATATCTACAATTACAGGTTACAAAATGCACAGATGCGGTTACTACAATATTCAAAGGATGTGTGGCAATACATTTCGTGCAGAAAAACACGACAGAAATCTACAAAGGGAAAGTATTTACGTTTTGGAGACAACAGAGAGCTTGAAATTTTGGCGCTTTTCTATATACGACTGTGACGTCATATCTTTTGCGTCACTATGAGCGATATGACGTCATAATGGTGATGCGCGATGTAGAGCGAAAGCCTTGCAAAGCTTGCTTTGTTTTCTTTAGGGATGCCCACCTCATGTTAGCTTACCAGGTTGCCGTGCTTATATGCTTTCAAGGGGGCACGGGTGGCCCAGTCGTCTGAGGCGCCGCGATTCGCTGTGCAGAGTTGCGTCCCTTGGGCACGCCAGAAACCTATGATTGTGGGTTCGAATCCCGGTTCGCCCCATGTTTCTAAGTTTGTCAGCACCATACCCGTGCTCGTGGGTTATACCAAAGTGGTAAACGTCTGAGACCTGCATCACTTCGGGCTTTTCTCCCACATTAAGCTGACACGCCGTGATATGACTGGAATACTGTTAAAAGCGGCGTTAAACCCAACTCACTCACTCACTCACTATATGCTTTCAATGCCTGTCATGTGTTCGAGTGAAGTATTACGGTGTAAACAAACTGCTTGAGTATATACAGCACCATATTTTGTTGGGTGATTCCGTAATTCAGATCGATAACCCACTCAAAACACTGAACTGAACCCATGCCGCTTCACTCAGTTATTTAGTCATGGTAGAATGGAGATAAACATACTGTGTTTTCAATGTAGAACTAGGTTACCTGTATATTTAACCGCGCTTAATTTAACATTTGAAACCTCACGCTGCGCGTTCGGTTCCAAATTCAATTTAGCGGGGTTAAATCTACAGGTAACCTAGCTCTACATTGAAAACACAGTATGTTTATCTCCTAATTGTAACATAATGACTATTATGGTAATATCTGATCACCTACTGGAAATCCATACATTATAAACACTCACTCCCGGATATGATCAAAGATAGACTACAACAGAAACTACAAGGACAATAGTCACAACCGGATGTTATCAGAGCTAGAAAGCAAACTAAAACTGGTTGCTAATGAAACGAAATCAACATTCTTTGAAACATTTTTTTTAAATAAAAAGACAGAATGACGGGTCTGCACTGCTATCGGATTACCACACACTATTTTCGTAAGAGAGCATGGTGTGTCTATTGTATAATCGGACATAAGTTGATTGTATATAATATTATACGTTCGATTTACTGTGGAGTCTTTTTACAATGATGAAATAGATTCATTGGCGCCCAGACCACACAGTGGTCATTTTTAGTCGTTGGTGGAGTAGGCGGCGGGAATATGAAACGCAAGGCCATACATCAATACCTAAGTTGCAGTCAATGTTGTTGGAAGACTTCCATCCTGGACAGCACTCATAGACTGTATTTGATTGTATGATATACCTGCAAAATGCATAATTGGAGTGTGTGAGTGAGTATGGTTTTACGCCGTTTTAGCAATAACTTGTCACGGCGGAGGACAACAGAATTCGGTTTCACACATTGTATCCATGTGGACATTATCGGAGTAAACATACAACCTATCATATGTAAACAAGGAAATAAGTAGCTATGATCAAATAGATGAATTGATAACTGAAAAATTACAATACTATGGAATATGGGGCATTACAGATGTATTCGCAGATTTCTGCACACGGCAAATCAAGGTATCTCGACGTCTAATATCTGATGTGTAATTGGGATACAAATTAAATTGCTGTCACTTGTGAGATTGTGTACATTTAAAAATTGGAACTCTTTATTTATGATGACATCAATAGCATGATTGCAGTATGATATAATGCAAATTATACCATAAAAGAATTGTAAATAAAGCTTTCAAGAACTTGTGTTGGAAGGTGTTGACGTTGATGTTTTTTTCATAGTTAAAATCTACGATACAGTGGAATACAAACAAGACAAACAAAAATAATCTTAATATGATTATGATATAAACAACCATCATTGACTGCACAAGCCAATTACACGCTTTGCAGAACAGCGATACAAACGTAATGACAAAAGACTATCAAGCAAGGAATGCGTGACAGGCAAATTTGGAAAACGCTACCATGTAGAACGGAAGTGGTGTCACGATCAACAGGTTAGATTATTGTCTATGGTCACTTACTCAGTGAAATAGATTGGGAAATGATGTAACATGTGCTCCAATAGTTTTATAATACATCATAGTGCACATACCTTTGTCTATATGTAGTGCACATGCCCCCACGCCCGTTATGACAGGGATGCCTGTGCTGTTCCGGGGATGACACCTTGGCTGTTACTGTGTGATGACATACGTTCTTGCTGAAACAGAAAATATTGGCATTTGTTCGCACGTTCGTTGTAGTTCATTACTCCAAAACCGAGTCCGCCTTTATTTATTCTACCACTGTGCACATATCCAATATATGCGGTGGTAAGATTTTAAATATGCTTATGACATGTAGGTAGTTTGGGTAAGGCACATTTTGATATATTTCATTTAAGTTTAAACTTTGACATATTTCATTTTTATCTCAGAGAGAGAGAGAGATAGATAGAGAGAGAGAGAGAGGGAGAGTGAGAGAGATATCTGGATATCATACCCAGAAGGACTGAGACTTTCTGCATGTGGGCAAAGGTAGATGGCTAAGAACGCAAGACTTCCCAAAAGACTCATTTTGACGCCGCTGAAGGCACTGAAAAAAAGATAACCATTACAATCAATTAAGTGGTTACATCTGAATATATGAAGATTGAAGACTATGGAATGACTCAGTCTAACAAGGATAGTGTGTCAAATATTTCATTCTTGGAAAACATGTTTGTAGTTGTCTATTTGATAACATGGACATACATAGTTTTGTGCAAAAAAATCTGATCCGCTCACCTAGAGATACACGTCCATATCAGTCCGTCTCCTGTGGTGTTCTGTACACACTTTTCCCACTCAAAGGCAATATCTGTCAAATGTAGCGAGCTACTCTTCAACCAACAATTAAGATAAGGTCAAACAAACAATGTTATCAAGCTCCTCCCTTTTCTTGGTTGATATTGTCAATCAAGCATCAGCCTCTCCTGGTTTCTTGCTTTCTTGAGCTGTCATTGGTCATTGCTATTAGGACAAGGGTCTCACGGGTTATATTTTAGTGCTGAATTCTCCTTTGGGGATTGGTTACACCATAGCTGAAATTTGTCGCATGGGCGATTTCTCGTATCAAATACATCTCATCTGCAACAAGATGTACATTAAAACTGACAACGGTATCAAAAACATTAAAAAGGGCAACGCTCATAAAAGGTTAAACGTACGTTGGAATTCCTTATTTTATCGTAAAAATCTGGTTAATGATAATTATTTTCAGTGAAATCATTGAATGATCTCAACATCCACATCCTACCCATTGTCGACCCAATAACAGAAATTAAATAATGCTTCGACTGTGGAAAATAATACGAAACATCCACACACACATATGAAGTAACTTAGTCAATGTTACTGGTTTCTTCTTTCTATTTCAAAAGCACAAATAAAGACCCCCTCAACACGAAGGCCGTGGCTTCCCGCTTGGGAGTCCTAACAGTGTTATAAGGCGATCCAACGTGTTAGTAGCCGAAGATCTTTTGGGGCTTTTGAGTTATACTTCTGTGTGAAAAACAAAACACTATGCTCTATGTCTGGATCTGAAAACGCTAAATTAAAAAAGCATATCTAGCATATTAGCAGTGATAGCGCTCACCTTTCGCAATGTTTTATACCCAACCTAAAGATGTGCATGTTTGTATTACCAAATAAATCTCAAAGAACAGTTACAAAAAGCGTGGTATGTTTCAATCATGACGTAATTCGAGATTCGAACAATTGAACGAAGTTATTTTTGAGAGGGAAGTGACTAGTAGCCGGACACCGTAGATGAAGGCAATGGCAAAACGATCGCACCCAAAAGTGGGAGAGATATGACAATCTGTACTGGGACAATTGTTCATATCAACGTTGAATAGACATGAAAATGAAGGCATGTGTTCGTCTCTTGTTCATGTTGAATTGGAATTGTTATTTACAGTTCTTTCAAAAGTTCTTTACCGGTGACCGACCTTTACAAAATGACGTGTACACCATGAGAGATTTCCAGGGGATTTACGTTGATCGAGGGATCGTATATACATACATGTGTCATGTTAATAATCAGAAACAATCTGACAATCTGCGGACTGATATTTGTTTTTATGTTTTCAAATGTAACCAAGAGAATTAGTCGGGAAAGGCAGATAGCTACCGTCGTCGTTGAGTGTGTTGTTGCGTCAGTCATGACGTCACACAGGGCTGAAACTTTCACGATTTCTGTTGAATTTGGGTGCACATTGTAATGTATATTGTTTAATTCCATAATTCGTGCTACGATACTCTTCTCATTGAGCCAATATATGCAACAATTAGACGAAAAGACCTCTCAACATAGGGGAGAATACTACACAGTGTAAAATCTGAATCTGATTCTGAAGTACACACCTAATTGATTTCGCTTGATTTCATCTAGATAATTTGTATTGGTGACAATGACCATCTGCCATTTGATTCTAAAATGCATCAGGAATTCAGGGGTGTATGTATCGCAGATGAGTTTGCAATGTACGGCATAAGTGAAATGTCATTTTGTAAACACTATAACCATTACGGCGAAAAGTAGACTTCGGCGTTCGTGTTTGCGTATTTTCCAAAACATTCTAAACGATTCTAGGCTTGTCGGCAACGATTCAGATCATCATTGGTGATTTGATGAAAAATAGATAGAAACCTAACCGTGATCAATTATATGCTATTTTTATAATTCAATGCTTCGAGTAAATATCCGATATTTAGATTTCCAAGCATCAAGTACATAATAACGCCGTGAATGATTTAGTAATGTATCATAAATGGTGAGATTTGCGATGTACATAATTTTCAGAGGTCACTTTCAGTAGATTTGCTCGCCTGATCTCCCAAAGTTTTCACCCTTGTTCAACATTCACGCTTTCAATATGGAAATAAGTTCACTTGCCTATTTGTTTGTTCTGTAATAAGTAAACTTCAATTTATGAACATATGTATTCCATCAGCATCAGAAACTTCGTCAGCAGGCGAATTTAGCATTAATACTTGAACCAGTAGTGTATAAGTGAGACCAGAGAGGTAAAGTTACTGCTTTAGAATACATACAGTTGATTTTCATTGGCTGATAAAACTATTTGCCACTATTTGTCACAAATGACATCATACTTATAGTACATTGGATATATCCATGTCGATATAGTTGAGAATGTGATGCCTTGTGGTTACTCTTTCCAGAATTCTGTTTTGTTTGTTGTGTAACGCGGCACTCAGCAATATTTCATCTATATGTGGACCAGGTAATCCAGTGATTGACATCATGGTATCGAATCACACAATTTGGATACGATGACATGCATCAACCCGATCATCCGATCCCGTTAGCTGCCTCTTTACGACAAGCATAGTCGCCTTTTTCGGCAAGCATGGGTTGCGGAAGACCTATTATATATTTGTTTAATGTACTGCACAGTCAGGAGAGGTGGTTCCAACTATTGTGCCCAGGAGAAAGGAATTCGCAACAGAATCACAACCATTATTTCACTTTATTTGCCATTTAAACTCGCATTCAGGCGCCGCGTAAAGATACCACACAAGGACATACGAATAATACAAATTCAATACCTTTACATCGACTTAACAGCAATGAAAAGTGTTGTTGCGAAGGTCTTTCAAGGTAAGTCTTTGTTTTTTTAAGATAGAAATGTGACCACAAATGTGGCCTGTTCCTATGAGCTGTTCTAGTGTCGGCTGAAATAGACTGTGACTATTGAACCAGTGGCCTATTAACTATTAACGTTGTAACGTCGCAACTTCGTAGCTTGAGCCACGCTTTTTCACTATTGCTAATTGAACTTGAGGGATGGGTCTCATCATCAGCTGATGGTAGACTGCAAAGCCAGGGATCAGTGTCTTTATCATATTTAAATGGCGTTTTTGTAATGTCCAGGGCCCACTTGCACAAAGCGATCTTAGCGCTAAGATGATCGTAACTCCCATACTTCAGCACAGGCTAACAATATTCTTAGCGCTAAGATCGCTTTGTGCAAGTGGGCCCAAAAGCGTCAATAAAATATGTTTATAAACACACTTCACTGACACTGCAATCGACGAAGGCTGCGTGGCAGAGAGAGAAAGAAGCGTCAATATAATAATGAGGTATCCCCACTTACTGCCTTTGCATAAACGGAGGTATTTGTTTCATTTAAATGTTCATTACAGAAAACGTACACTCATTCATGATAAAGAGACAGTGACAATTAAAGCTATATCTGGAATTACTATTAACTTGCTGATTGTGTTTAGGGGAAGGTTCTTTTAGTTTTAGATTCTTCGTAACAGTATGTTTTTACATTATAATATTTCACAGATCACTGTTAAGCTTTTAAAGGATGTGTCTTATAATAGGGAAATGGGGAATCTCGAACCAATGTATTCAAATCACTGATCATTAGAGGGCGGTAGAACCTAAATACCGATAGGATGTTTCCTTTATTTTCCTTATTTAATCATGCCGTCATTTTAAATGTCGGATGTTGTTGTATGTATTCTCCCAACATGGTTTCTGCAAGCTATATAGACAAAACCAGCACCTCCTACCAATATTCACTGTAATTCGCGATTGCCGTAATTATTTATAATATATTTGATTTGCAGTTTTATGTATGAGTATTTGTTGGGGGCATGATAGCAATTGCATGGTTTTACCTTGAATGTTGGTGGAGGTAAAGTTCGCGAAATGTGACAGGTCTTGCCTTTGGATGGAGAAAGTGTGTGCAGAACACCAAGGGAAGCAGACTGATATGACATGTATCGACAGGTGAGGGGATCTGACCTTTTGGGTACACTTTGCTATGTATGTTCATGCTATCTAAAAGATTGGAAAGAGGTTTTCCAAGAGTGTAATATTTGACACAGTTTCCTTGTTGGTATGAAATGTGTGGGATTTAGATAATCAACTGTAATTGTCTTCAATCTTCATATATTCAACAATTACGTCTTTGTTCAATGTGGTTTTCTCTTTTTTTCAGTGACTTCAACAGAGTAAAGAGAGACTTTTGTCAAGTCTTGCGTTTTTAACCATCTGCATTTTGTCGCATGCAGAAAGTCACAATTCAACTGGGTATGGTATAAATCATCTCTCTCAGATAATATACGTTCAATATATAAGATGAATGAATTTATATATATATACTACCCATCAAAAGTTTAGACTCACCAGTGTAAATGTAGCCAATCACTATACTCAACTGTTTCAAACCAGATAATGCCAAATATTCTAAACCTTTTACAGGTACTGTTAGCACATGAACTGTTGTGGCGTAAAACCAAATCTGTATCGGTGAAAAGATTAGAGTTTGTCGTTCATTAATTGATAAAACTCTGTGAAATGTCGCACATTTTTAAACAAAATTCGCACCAAAACGCAGGTGTTCACATGCACGATAATGCACGTGTTTTAGCAGCAATTTGACGCGGGATACTCGTGCAATTCATCTTTATAAGGATTGCAGTTGGCTCTTCTGAGTTAGTGGAGAAATTCTTCTTTGATGCAAGCATGGGTAGAGGGAGAAGTCTCCGTATTGAGCAACGACATCAAGCCTTGGCACTGCTACAAGATGGCAGATCACAACGGTTTGTTGCCAGACGTCTTGGCGTATCCCAATAGGCAGTTTCCAACCTCTGGGTACGCTTTCAACAGACCAACTCCGCCCAGGATCGACCCAGGTCGGGTAGGTCAAGGGTAACATCACAGCAAGATGACCGATGCGTCTTTTTGCTGTTTCTCAGGGGCAGACACATTACAGCCACAGCAGCCAATAATGCTTTCCAACAAGCTACAGGACGACGTGTATCTGTATCAACAATACGCCGCCGATAACGTCACTACGGACTGCGGGCACGTCGTCTAGCTGTAAGACCCCCTCTTACACCACGCCACCGTCAGA